ATAGTTCCATTTAAAGTTTTTACCAATTTTCATACAAAGCAATTTGACACATTTTAGTTTACTAGTTTAAAATTCTTTTTTGTTGTTTACTTTTAATTTTTTTTTACTTTTATAACTCAAAATCCCCACAAATTTACTTAGTTTTTTTTTCATTCAAATTACACACCCATATAAAAAATAATTTGCAATTTGATTCCTTGGATTTATACTTGATTTAAATCTTATTACGTTTTTTGGGAAACTAAATTTTGAAAACTTATGCCACTAAAGGTTTATCAATGCACATTGGGTTTTAACATTTAAAGTCCAATTTTTTCAACTAATACCTGCATTTAAAGCCCAACTTTTTTTATTGCACCCGCATTCAAATCCTAGTTTTTCTTATTGACACTCACTTATTAGCATTCACATTTAAAGTCCAACTTTTCTGACTGGCACTGCATTTAAAACCCAATTTTTCTAACTGACACCCACACTCAAACTGATATGTGACTGACACCTACATTTAAAACTCAACTTTTCTTACTAATACCCACATTCAAAGCTCAACTTTTCTTACTAATACCCACATTCAAAGCTCATCTTTTCTGACTGACACTCGCATTTAAAATCCAACTTTTCTTACTAATATCCATATTTAAAGCCCAACCTTTTTTACTGTTGTTCACATTCAAAACTTAACATTTTTTACTAGCACTCACATTTAAATCCTAACTGACACTAATTATTCCTTTAAGGACCTTAAAATTCAAAAGAAATTTATGTTTTTATCTTTACTTATCTCCTAAAAATATTAATTTTCATATTATCTAGTAAAAACTAAATAAAGAGGAACAACTATCAACACTTAATTTCATCCGAATAATTAAAATAATATATATATATATATATATATATATATATATAACATAATAAAAAATTTATATAAAATAATTAATAAAATATTTTAAAATATCTTCTTTAACTTCCTATTTTTATCTGAAGTCATACTCCATATTCTCTAGATATTTTCTCTTTATCTCTTTATACCCACTACCCACTCTTTCTTATTTTTCTTTAAGATATTATTTTTTTCTTCCTGTTCATCCACTCCATAAAAATGATTACAGAAACAAACACAAAAACGAAAAAAAAAATTAAAGAGAGAAGAAGAGACGTTGTGCGAAGAAGAATCTTAAAACATATTCCCAACTCCTCTTCTCTTTAATTTTATTTATTTTAGTTGTCTATTTATTTTGGCATTTTATTTCCATCTTGATGCTAAGTTATTAACACTTAATATTGATAATTCCACGACCCCACTCACCACAAGCCAAACTGTAGGACTCTATATTTCTCTGTTCCCCTATTTCTTCTATTTCTGCTCGGATTCATTTCTGATTTTACATTCGACTCGTTTTTGTGTTTTCGCATTTGACTGGAGTCTTGATCACTCTGCTTAGACATAGATTTGCTTCGTTTGTGTTGGGTTGATGTTGTTTGATGCAGGTTAGTTTTTGGGTTTAAACTGAATGCTTATTGGGTTTGTTATGGACTGTGTTGAACTGTTCTGGACTCTGGGTTCTTCTTTTTGCTATTTGGACTGCATGGACCGTGGGTCTTGTGGCTAATGTCATTTTGCCGCCCTTACTGCCATGTTTTATTTACCAATTTGGGTTGAAGCACCTCTGAATTGTTTTGTGAATGTGGGTGATTTGCAATTGTTGTCCCGTCGTATTATATCACTAGTTGTAAATATTTGGATTCCTATTCTAAATGTGGTTGTGGCTGTGTAGTTTTTATTTGCTTCACTTTACTTTTGATACCAAAATGTTGGAGTTCGGGCCTTTTGTTTTGTTCCGATTGGATTGCTAACAGCCTTAGACTTTTGGGCCAATCGGTCTCATTTATTATTATTCTTCATTACGAGGCCACCAGCCTTGCATTATTTGGTTTAGTGGGCTTCTTAGGCTATTTGGATTGATACTTAGGTTATTTGGATCGAGGGTCCTCACACAATACTTGTGGTTATATAAATTCTTTTCAAGACCTTAGTGTTGATTTTTCTTTTCAAAATTAATTCTTGGATATGGTGTGGCAGCACACATCATGTGTCTTATTTTAAACATAAATTTTGATATATGGTTACGCCACGCCCGTTCTCATCGTTACATCCATAAATTCCAAAAACATAAAATCTTTTTAAAAACACCAAAAATTTTTAAAACATTAATCAATAAAAAAATTATATAATCATGATTCACTACAAAAAAAAACCCTATTACCTACGGAATATTACCCACGGATAAAAATCCGTAGGTAAATTTTACATTACCTACGGATATTATCCACGGATAAAAATCCGTAGGTAAATTTTACATTACCTACGGATATTATCCACGGATAAAAATTCGTAGGTAAATTGTACATTACCTACCGAATTCTATCCGTAGGTAATTATCCATTACCTACGGATATTATCCGTAGGTAATATCATCCGTAGGTAATTCAGTAGGTAATTACCTACGTAATTACTATCCGTAGGTAAAGTGTACATTACCTACGAATTCTATCCGTGAGTAATTATCCATTACCTACGGATAATTACTCACGGATAGAATTCGATACGTAGGTAATTATCCATTACCTACGGATAATTACTCACGGATAGAATTCCGTACGTAGGTAATTATCTACGTACGGAATTACTATCCGTAGGTAAATTATATTAAACTAAAAGAATTGTCACTAGCGAGAATCGAACCCAATACCTTAAAGTTGAAACTCGATACTTCAACCACTAAACTATTAGGATATTTTAATAATAATTTACAACTAAATTATACTTATATTAATTCGTGTAAATATATAAATATATAAATATATAAATATATAAATATAAAATATATAAATATAAAATATATAAATATATAAATATAAAATATATAAATATATAAATATAAAATATATAAATATATAAATATACAAATATACAAATATACAAATATATAAATATACAAATATATAAATATACAAATATATAAATATACAAATATATAAATATATTTATATATAAATATATAAATACATAAATACATAAATACATAAATACATAAATACATAAATATTTAAATAGATAAATATTTAAATATATAAATATTTAAATATATAAATATATAAATATATAAATATATAAATACATAAATATATAAATACATAAATATATAAATACATAAATACATAAATACATAAATATATAAATACATAAATATATGAATACATAAATACATAAATATATAAATAGATAAATATATAAATATATAAATACATAAATATATAAATACATAAATATATAAATATAAATATAAATATATAAATATATAAATATAAATATATAAATATATAAATATAAATATATAAATACAAATGTATAAATGTATAAATATATCAAAATATAAATATATTTTATATTTATATATTTTATATTTATATATTTTATATTTATATATATTTTATATTTATATATATTTTATATTTATATATTTTATATTTATATATTTTATATTTATATATATTTTATATTTATATATTTTATATTTATATATTTTATATTTATATATATTTTTTATATTTATATATTTTATATTTATATATTTAGACGGATAAATATAAATATAATTTATTTGTAAATTATTTTCAAAATATCCTAATAGCTTAGTGGTTGGAGTATTTCTAGGTAATAATAAAAAATAAGGGAGGGTTTATTAAAAAATAAAAATATTTTGTTTTGTTAAGGTTAATGCATTACCTACAGATTTTACCAGTAGATAATAAGCGTTTTTTTGTAGTGATTTTTTATCACTAATAAAAATATATAAGAGTAAGGTTAATTTTTGTCCGATTCAAATAAAATATTTTTAGTATGTTTTTTCTTTTATTTTTGTCTTTCTTTATTTAATATTTAGAAAAAAATAAATATTTTTTAAAATAACATGTATTTTACAAATTTAATAGGATGTTGATATCTTCTTTACGTAATTATTCCTACATTCAAATTCGATTCGATTTCAAAAATATATTTCTAGAAAAATATTTTTCTATCATTTTACTTAATTCTATTTTTTTAAGGTTGTATATTTACTTCGTAATTTCGATTGTTATTTCATTGTTTTTCTCTTTATATGTATTGTGTATGATAATTATCTTTATTGTTGTATGGTTCTTATCTTTATCTTTTTATTTGTCTTATACCAAATTATCACTCGTGTCGATTGATTATCTTCGTAGTTAGAAAGTGACATTAGGGTAAAAACATTAACATATGAAGTATATTTGACTTAAACGTAACGTGTTTTAAAAGAATAGTAACTTATTTTACAAATGAGAGTTTTATCCTTAAAAAATTAAACCATTTCAAAACATATATGCATGCATGGTAAAATAGCGTGCTTTACAACAATATAAACCACTTTTTAACAAAGAGAACGAGACAAACAAGAAGCAATGAATGACTGTCTCGATGAATAATATAATTTTCTTTATCATTTCATGAAATTTTATGCCATCATCATCACAGTCTCACCATAGCTAGCTATCTAGATGCATGCATGCATTATCCAAACGTGTCATTCTCTCAAAAACATGGTGGCTTATCTGTCACCCTCTCACAAAACCACGAAATTATAGCAATTATGCATTATGCATGGACCAGGACCACGCCATGCACCAGAGCAGCAACATCTATATATATTTTCTGTCATATCCCATGCTTTGCACCAGAACCCAATGGGATATAGATAACTCAATTATTCTCTCAAGAACAACTCCAAAAACCCTTTCCCCGTCAAAAATACGCGGCACATATTTGCTCTTACGTGTCCAAATCAAACAAATGCACCTACCATCACCAACCTCTCTATATATATCTCTCTCATGTTGAATAAACTTTCATCCTAGTTCGTGCTTGCTATTCTACTTTCTACTTCAACAGAGTTGAGTGAGCTTTAAGGTTATTTTGTTCCATGACTTCGATGATGGCTGTGACTCTCACGATCCTCGTGACCTTTCTCTCGGTTCTCTCTTCTGCATCGTGTGCTCGAATGGTCGGGGGGAAGGCGGAGATCCCTGACGTGAGAACAAACAGGGAAGTGCAAGAACTTGGGAGATTCTCGGTGGAGGAGTACAACCACGGTTTGAAGCTGTGGGGGAACTACAGCGACAATGAGAGAGAGAAATTGAACTTTTCAGAAGTGGTGGAGGCGCAGCAACAAGTTGTGTCAGGGGTGAAGTACTATTTGATGATCTCAGCCACTCATAAAGGGGTTCACAAAATGTTCTCCTCAGTGGTGGTGGTTAAGCCATGGCTTCATTCCAAACAGCTCCTCCACTTTGCACCAGCATCCACCAGCAACACCAAGCAGTGAAGATTATATATATATATATATGCTTTGGATCTAATTATACAATAATGACCATATACTGAGGATAATTTATTGACTATATATGCATGATGGTATTTGTAATTTCAAGTGAGTTTTTCATTCTCTCCAAATAAATTTTCCCTATATTGTATGGTGTACCTGGAGGAGAGCAGGGAAAATTCACCTTCAACTTGAAATCTATATAGAGAGATTACAGATAAATTGTCTAATAGTGTCTGTCGTTCGCTTATTCTTATTTTTCTAAAGAAACAGTTATTATATAAATAATTTAAAAAAATATTTAAAAACAAAAGAGGGAAGAAATGTAGAGAAACAAATTGATGGATATAAATGATAAAATTTTATTTTAATAAAAAAATAAAAATGACTAAATTATAATTAAATAAAAAAATATTATTTTATTTAAAAGTTTATGCGTGAATAAAAATTATTATTATTAATATAATTTAAAATGTTATAATTATTAATTATTAATACGTTTATTATTATTAAAGTATTTATTATTATTTATATTATATATATCATTATAAATTTTATTATTATTATATATTATATATAATATAATGTAGACGAAGAAGTGTAGGGAAGGGAAGGGAAATGAGAGTTTACAATGTAAATGAAAGAAAAAAATATTTTAATAAAAAAATTTCTAAGATGATAAAAGAATAAAATTTATTATTATTATTATTATTATTATTATTATTATTATTATTAGTATAATTTAAAATATTATAATTATTTTTATTAATATTTATATATTTATTATTATTATTGTTTATTATACACATTATTTTTATTTTTATTATTAATCTAACTATTATTATATTAGTAATTATTATTTTTATTATAATTATTTTCATTTTTATTATTAAATAATTATTACAAAAATTAATTTTTTTAAAAATCGATTTTTACATTTAATAATAATATAATATAATAATAATAATAATAAGTAGAATCGGTTTAATAATAATAATATAATAATAATAATATAATAATAATAATAGATAGAATCGATTCCAATATATTAATCTTACAAATAATAATAATAATATAATAATAATAATATCGGTTTAATAATAATAATAATAATAATAATAATAATAATAATAATAATAATAATAATAATAATAATAGATACAATCGATTCTAATATATTAATCTTACACTAATAATAGGTAGAGCGTGAATAACATGGAGGAGTTGATTGTTGTTCGTTGAGCTCTCCAGCCAGGCAACGATTTTATGCATGTAAATTTATTTATTTTTTTAAAATAACTTATATATTTAAAATAAGAGAGTTATAATTTATATATTTCAAAATATGAGTTATTATGATTTGTATAATTTAAAAATAAGACAAAAATTTAAAAATATATAAAGAGAGAAAGAAAGATTACAATAAAAAAAGAAAAATATTAAAATATAATATTTAAAGAGCAGAGAAAGATATATTATAAATGTAATAAAAAAATTAAAAGAAAAAACTATGATATATAGAGAAATAAAATAAATTAAAAAAAAAATAAGTATAAAAATTATCTTATATATTATTTAGTTTTTGTGTGTGTGTTTACATAAATTAGGCGTTTATAGATTATAGAGGAACTATATATAGATAGTTTTGAGATAGAGGAATCATATATAGATAGATTTCAGAAGTATTATATATAGATTATGGAGGATTATATATAGATTATAGATGAATATAGATTACAAGTAAGAGGAATTAGCGAGATGAAGGAAGGAGCGCTTATATATATATACATAAATAGATTAATTTCAGAACAATAAAGGGATGAAGGTCTCTGGTAACCTAAAAATATTGGAACAGTTTGGCGCCCAGATTACAATTTGGCATCCACCGACCACCGTGGTTACCCACTTCTCAACTCCGCCGCATACCCTCTCTTCTTTATTCCCTCGCTAGGTACGCCAAATCTCATTCTCCATGCATACACACCTCACTCTCTCTTCTAATGTCCAATTTTTCTAACTCTCTCCATGCGGACCCGCGCGCTAAAAAACCCGATCGCATTCAACCAAATTACCATTCTCTCGCTCCCAAAATTCTGTTCCACAAGCCTACCTTCCAACCTAATCCCCAAATCCAAACCAATCAACCAACCCCACAATGAACCCCCCAAGGCCGAAGCAGAATCCCAATCCCCAACTCCCACTTCATCACCACCCGTAACGGATCGGAATCCCCGAATCGGTCACTGAATCCACCTTCACCCCTTCCCCTCACGAATCGCGTTCCAATCCATACTTTTCCTCCTCTTACTCTCAACCGGCCCCAATTTCATGGGAACGGTGGTGACAGTTCGCAATGTGCTGGGAAGGTAGGGGAGGCTACAAGGAAGGCTGAGAGTCTCGCTGGAATCACGTGGCAGCACGGTAAGTTTTCTGGTTTGTTTCTATTTTATCTTCAATGACGTTTGAGACGAAAGATATACATAGAGAGGAAACGGAAGCTATGGAGGTTTGTCTTTCTACCGTTTTATCTTCTATCTTGTGATTTGGGTTTTTGAAACCTGAATGAGTATTGTTTCTCCCTTGGCCGTGCAAGCTGATTCCGCCCCACCACTACCATCATCACATCAGTTTATGTTTTTGAGAAAGAAGTAATCGTAAAGTATGGTGATAAAGGTAAGCACGTGTACTTAACTTCATTTGGTTTCTATTATAGCAGTGGCTGTGACGCCGGTAACGAGAGGTCTAAAGGAAAGAAGAATGGTAAGATTAATGTTAATTTTATTTCTTTCTTCCTTGGAAGAATTGTCTAAGGCTCCACAATCAGTTCTGGACCCTCCTTGGAGAGGACAGAGATGATGAATATGAGGCAGAGAAACTCATGTCAAGGCTTTATTGCGCATTGTTTTGCTATAATGTATCCCTTCTCCCTTTTTTTATTTTTTTATTATAACACTCTTTTATTATATAACTTTTTTAATATATACTTGTCTGCATTCGAAGTGATAAATTACAATCTGTCAAAGGGTTGAAAAGGAAAAATGTTGTGGCAGTTTTTTGTCCTAAATGATGAACAAAGTGGAAATTTGCCGCTGGCTGAAAATCAAGTTTTCCTTGCTGCAAGTACACAAGTGGAACGGAAGCTATACCAAACTAGCCATATATGCCGTGAAGGCACCAAGTAAGTTCACATCATCATTTCAGATAAAAGCATATAACACTGCTCATTTTATTTTATTTCTTGCTTTATATTTATATTTATCTTTACTTTTTATTTTTATTTTTGTTGTTTTTGTTGTCATTCTTCACTGATTACTATTTGTTAATGTGGGATGTAATATAACTCTTTAAAATTTGTATATAGACACATGAGAAAAATAATATTTAATATTTGAAATGATTGTTCTGGATTTTGGATGCTCTAAATTTATAGTCTCTTTACTCTTTTAATCCGAGAAACTGGGGCGATGTAGTGTAATCTAGTGTAATAATTCTCTTAAAGTATTTTCACAAATAAATAGTTAAAATAATTAATAATGACAGAAAAATTTCATAAGAATAATCTACCTATATCTTAAGCTCGAATCTTTCATAGTCCATAACAGAAGAAATATATTTAAAGATGAAGATAGCCCTAAAAACATAAAATCATTACAAATGTAACTAAGTAAATTTTTGTTTTTCTAAACGTCTTTATCTGCTGTACCTAGTTTGGTTGGTTCGAAAAATATGTTATTGGTGACACCGTGGGTTTTAATCCATGCTTGTGATTTTGAAATAGCAAGAACGTGTTTGATACTATATTAATCATTCAAAAACAATATTTAAGTTTTTTTGTTTTTCTTAAATCGAAATTTCTACCTATCTTTCTCTTTATTTTGATTTAAATAGTTTGATTTTTCTTTTCCTAGAAGATCTTGTTAATTTTGTTCACATAGTTTTAGTTTTGTGGACACTAAGCAAGAGATTGTTTGGATTTCTTAAAGTTTTTTTTTTTTTAATTTTGAGATCAGAATGGAAGAAATAACTTTCATGGAAATTCTCTGGACTTTTGTTTTGAGAGATAAAAAGAATGTTACTAAGAAATTTTTGTGTCAAGAATTATTGTCGTTTGTGTGTTCTTTATCAATGAACTAAGAATTGATATAATTTTTGTTTTTGTTTTTTATATATGTTGTGATTTGTCATTATATTTGTTATGAAAAAAAAAAGTTTTATTTGAAGAGTTTCAGGACAAAAGATTTTAACTGGGAGACATTTCGAAAAAGATCAACTTTATAAATTTTTATTTAAAAGTTTTTTAATTAAAATTATTCATATAATAATTACTAGGGTTTATATTTATTTTAATTTTATATATTTTTAAATGAAATATATGTACTCTTTTTTTCTTGTTTTAAGTCAAGTCTCTTATAATTTTTGTTATTTAATTGAAGATTTTTTTTATTTACTATCACGTCAATCATACTTGTATTTATTTAATCGAATTTTTGTCACGTACCTAAAAAACTGTTTTGTTATGTTACCCATTCGTTAAAATATTTTAAAATTTAAAATTTTTATATATTTATTACAAAATTTACGTTAAAAAATTATTTTACTTTTATATACATTATATATAAATAATACATATAATATTACAAAATATAAATAGTGTAATTATTAATTGATCTCTCGATTGGTAAAACTGTTAATCTATCCATTCTTTTTAAATTTGTAGAACAAAATATATTTTTAAAAAAACTTGTAGACCTTATTAGACTTTTTTTATACTACATATATTACACCTTTAAAATGTCTGCAATATATAAATAGATCAAACTCGAGTTTCTTGAACGAAGGTGAGAGTTTCATTTATTTAATATGGATTGACTTACTTTAATTTTTGCCAAGATTACGTAGTTGAGATCTTAAAAGATAAGCATTTATTTGAGTTAGGTGTAATGAATCTTTTTTACCTTTTTATTTTATGTGGGTAGATTAGGAGAACTTATCTAACAATGATAAATTGAGTGTATTTTTTTATGTAAGTGTTTATGTAATAACCTATTGTACCTTAAGTAATTAAGATGAACTCAACTAAAATATAACATGTTAATCGTAATCAAAACATGTTATTTGTATATATCTAGTTGAAATACCATATACATGAATAGTTGAAATATTAAAATATATCATTTTTACCTATGTTGAAATACCAATATATTGTGATTAGTTCAAATAGGTGACATAAAATTAATGTCATTATCAATAATACACCTAAATATCGATAAAATAAATAATATATAAAATATTATTATACCATAAATCTTATATTTTTATTTTCTTTTTATACATTTATATTTATATACACTAAATTTTTCTTATATTATTATTGATTTAATTTATCAATATATATTAAAATTTATATATATATATATATTTATTTATTTGTACATTTTATTTTTTTATCTATTTATATTCTCTTTATATTATTATTATTTAGTTTATTAATATACGTTGGAAATTATATATATATATATATATATATTATACATTTTTTTTACATAAATTTTTTTATATGATGACTTAATGTATTAATACATATTAAAATTTTCATTAAAACATTTCGTAAATTTACTCCGTCAGTAATATAATTTGTATATAATCAAAATAGACTGTGCGATATTAAATCATGTATATAAAGTTAAAGTTCACCTATAATTGCATATAGGTAAAATTTCAAATATATTATTATTATTATTATTATTTTATGTAATCGCAATATATTTTTATCAATTAGCTTATGTGATTGAAAAAAGAGACATCTCAATGATCAATGATCAAAGCAAAAGATATTTTGAGCAATTAGTAAAAGTAGCTAGCACAATGTTATCCTTTACATTTTTTAAATCTTTGAGATAAACTTCCTTTAATATTTTAAATTGATGATTTTATTAATTACTAGTACATGAGTTTTATTTAATATGGTTGAATTTAAGCATTCCTACTATAATAATAATAAATAATGTAAAGTACTGCCATACAAAAATAAAGTCCAAATGAAAGAAAGTAATTGAATTTTAACTTAATAAATTTAACAAATGTATTATATAACCTATGCCATTTTAAGTAAATTTAACTTTTAATATCATAAATTTTCAAAGATTACCGTTACCTTTTTTTAATATCACTTTAATTTATTATTATTAGTTCAATCCAAGTTAGATTACTGAACTTTGAAATGATATCTTGAGGGTATAATAATGATAACTGGTTTGGTTTAATTTTTTTTATTAGTATTTAGTATAAGTAAGGAAAGAAACGGTCCAGATCCATCGGATCCTGGTATTTTCCGGGTGTCCGGATCCCCACTGAGACGCTCCAGATCCAACACAAATTCAAAAAAGTTAATTTCGCCCTCTTCTCTTCCTCTCTTGCTTTTTTCTTTCTTCCTTTCTGTGTCAACACAACTCTTCTCTCTAATAATTCAAATCCCTATCCCTCCAACGGCTATTTCCAAACCCCATCATCTTTCTTCTTTCATCTTTCTTCTTACCTTTCCCCATTTCCTTCGCTCTCATTGTCCTTCACCTCTGCCCCGAAATGAAGAAGCACTTCATGCTCCCAAGAAATCCTCTCAGGGATGCAGAACTCGCTTCTTCCTCCACCCCAACCCCCACTCCTAGCTCCGCCAAATCCCGCCCCTCTCGCAAACACAAACACTCCAAGGAGAACGACCCTCCCGCCGATCCCAATCTCGCCGCTCCTTCCCCGGCCAAGTTCAAGAGCCCCTTGCCACCAAGACCCCCTCCTTCCAACCCTCTCAAACGCAAGCTCGCCATCGCCGCCGATGCCCTAACCGATAATTGCCCCCCCGCACCCTCCGATTCCGGCGTCAAGGTTGGTTGAGTCTGTTAGGGTTTTCAACTTCTCATTTTCCAAGTCTTCGATCTAAGTCCCCTTTCTCAATCCTTTCCTTTTGCAGGTTATTGTGAGGATGAGGCCGCTCTGTCCTGACAAGGACGAAGGAGATCCCACTGTTCAGAAGGTCTCCAATGATTCGTTGTCCATCAATGGCCACAACTTCACCTTCGACTCCGTTGCTGACACTGCGGCTACTCAGGCATGGTTTTTATTTTTAGTTATGCTCAGTACTATTCTTTTATTTTATCCTTGGTTTGAAAGAAATGTTCCCTTAACGCGATTTTGGCCGCGAGGACTGTGATGTAACCGCAATTTAAATCCTTTAGATGTTTGATTTCGGAATTATTGATTTCGGTGTTTGATGCGCTTTCGGGTCCTGTTTTTCAGCTGGATATTTTCCAACATGTTGGTGTGCCACTGGTGGAGCATTGCTTGGCTGGTTTCAATAGTTCAGTTTTTGCGTATGGACAGGTTTTTCCTCCTCCCGTTGACTTTTAACTTTTAGTTTTTTCCTGTTGCTGCTGCTCTATGATGTTGTGTTTTTGAACTTGCTAGACGGGGAGTGGAAAGACTTATACAATGTGGGGTCCTGCCAATTGTTTGTTGGAAGAAAATGATCAGCAAGGACTTGCACCTCGTGTTTTTCAGCAATTATTTGCACGTATAAATGAAGTAAGAATTCAATTTTGGTTTCTTGTAAAATTATTTGAAGATTGTTTGCTCTGTTCTATGATGTTTACTGTTGCATTTCTTGCACAGGAGCAAATTAAGCATTCTGACAAACAACTCAACTATCAGTGCAACTGCTCTTTTCTTGAGGTTGATTGACTCTAAAATTGCTTCTTCCTTGTTTGTGACCTGCTTAACCTTATCAGTTAAGTCCTTTTGACACAAAGATTGTTTTTGCAGATATACAATGAGCAAATCATGGATCTATTGGATCCAAATCAGAAAAACCTACAGGTAAGTCCTAAAACAGGTGTTACTATTTGTCTTGTGCTTCACTGCTTTGTGCTGGAGCTGATATTTTTTTTTTTTTTTTTCAGATTCGAGAAGATGTCAAATCTGGTGTCTATGTTGAAAATCTTACAGAGGAGCACGTGTCTTCAATGAAGGATGTAACTCAGCTTTTAATAAAGGTATTAGTCACACCCTACCACTGGTATTGTATAATAAAATATGTTATCTTCTTTATGACTCAACTTTGATCATAGTCTTAAGGTGCAATATCATTAGCCTCAGACCCTCAGTGGAACTAGCTTTAGCCTGCTGTTCTGTAGCAGGTCATTTTTATGCTTTGAAACATGAGTTGCTCAACGGAAAGCACTAAAGTTGCTTGTTGGTTGCCAGAAGAAAATGGAATGATTTTATGTCATGCATCCATATAATCCTATTTAAAACTTCAAATTTTTGTTTCACTTTTGTAAAGTTTTCTGGAAGAGTAAAGAGTCTCAAAGCACAAATCATCCCCTTTCATATAACGTGTTTTACTATCATCTGCCATTTATTACACAGGGATTATCTAACAGGAGAACTGGTGCAACCAGTATAAACTTTTGTTTCACTTTTGTAAATTTTCTGGAAGAGTAAAGAGTCTCAAAGCACAAATCATCCCCTTTCAAATAACGTGTTTTACTATCATCTGCCTTTCATTACACAGGGATTGTCGAACAGGAGAACTGGTGCAACCAGTATAAATTCGGAGAGTTCCCGCTCGCACACTGTTTTTATTTGTGTTGTTGAATCTCGATGCAAGGTGATACACTGTCTCATGACATGGAAATTGTCAAGTAATCTGCATTTTTAGTAATAATGAGTGAACTGCTGATATTATATGATGTGATAGAAGAACAGATCCTATGCAAGTCCAGACAATCTAATGTGTTTGATTAAGATAGATTAAATGTAACAAAGGGTGTTGCAATTGAAAAGCTTAAGAAATTTATTCATCCTGAATTTTTTGTTCTTCTTGGCAATTGTTTGCCAAAAGAACTTTTTCTGATAGGTGTTTTGAAGTAAATTCATGTTTGCAGAGTGCAGCAGATGGTGTGAGCAGATTTAAAACAAGTAGGATCAATCTTGTTGATCTAGCTGGGTCAGAACGACAAAAATCAACAGGTGCTGCAGGAGAGCGATTGAAAGAAGCTGGGAATATTAACAGATCACTCTCACAGCTTGGGTATGGTTCAACCTGTTTGTGTATTATATTGAGAGCAAATATCTGTGTTAAAGATAATTATGAATGCTGAATTAAAGCTTTTGAATACCAAGCCAGAACCACAAGAAAGAAGAAAATCTTCTATGTGAATTCTTGAGGCTTTAATGGAACCCCAGATATAAGCCAAATAACATGGTATCCTGAACCGCAAGGCAGAAGGAAACAAGACAGTTCGAAACTGAAAGTCACAGCTTCTTAATGTTTTTCCATTGATTGAGGCTTAACAAACTAAGAATGTAATTTAGATCAGTAAAATGAAGAAGTCTCAAAACTAGATTATGTATGGCAGAGATGCAGGTGTTTTTGGAATCAAGATTTCTGTAGGAGCTAGTACTTTACTGAGGTTAAATTGTACTGCAGGAATTTGATAAATATTCTTGCGGAAGTCTCTCAAACAGGAAAGCAGCGGCATATACCATATAGAGATTCGAGGTTGACATTTTTGTTACAGGAGTCTCTAGGAGGAAATGCAAAATTAGCAATGATTTGTGCTATTTCACCTGCACAAAGGTAGTATGTAAAGCACTGGTCATTTGAAATATTTTATCTTCTGTTCTTTTTGTGTTACAGAATTTTTTAAATGGCTTGGTCCTGCAGTTGTAGGAGTGAAACATTCAGTACACTGAGATTTGCACAACGTGCCAAAGCTATCAAGAACAAGGCTGTTGTTAATGAAGTTATGGAAGAAGATGTGAAGCACTTGCGACAAGTGATTCGGCAACTAAGGGTATATTCTTTTTTATAATTGAAATCACGCTTTGTTTTGCCATTCTTCATTTTGAAATTGGAATAACTTAGAAGTGTATGAAATCAACAGGATGAGCTTCATCGAATTAAAGCAAATGGTTACAACCCAATGGACTCAAGTGGAGGTCATTCAGCTGCTTGGATCCGAAGAAGCTTGAGTTTATTACAATCAAGCCTCAATCGACCACCACCATTATCCTGTCTTGATGAAGATGGTGATGAGGAGATGGAGATCGATGAGGATGGTGTGGAGGACCATGATGAAATATCCTGCAATGCCAATATGCTGAGTAATTGTAAAACTCGAGCTGATAATGACAGTGAAATGAACACTGATGATCAGGATTTTGCTCATCCTAGTGGGGAGAAAAATATACCAGATTGCTCTGGCAGTAAAAGTCTTGATGAAGAACCATCCTGTGCAATGGTACAAAACAGTTTCTCTTGTCATATGGGTGAGTCTGACATTGGAGGTTTTGCTGGTTTTTCAGCCTTAGATGTGCCAACCGATTCACCTAGTGGTGCAGCCTTGAATTGTGTCTCACCTGCCGGCCTCAGCATACTTCAGTGTGATTTATCCCCAATCCTTAAATCTCCAGCTCCTAGTGTTTCACCTAGAATCAGCACCGGCAGAAAAAGTTTGAGGACGTCAACAGGGTTGTCACCTTCTGAAAATGATCTTCATGTTGAAAAAGATTTCAGCTTAAAAACTAGCAATAAGAAACGCTCATACTCCGCCTGTTCTACTCAGACAGTTCCTAATTTCCTAAGTAATACTGAAAATTTAGCAGCAAGCATACGCCATGGTCTTGAAATTATTGATAGTTACCGATGCAATTCAGCCGTGAGGCACTCAGCATATAGGTTTTCATTACGGCCAAGAGAATCTAGATTAATTTTTCTAGCTGATAAAGTTGATGTGGGCCTGCAGACTTCACTTGATGATTATGTTGGAGAAGATTTATTCATCTGTAGTTATTGTAAAAGCAGAGAGCAACTTGATGTCAAGGAGACTGACAATAACTCAAACCTACAGTTGGTACCTTTTGATTGCCCTGAGTCTGCTGATAAGCCAAAGAAACAAGTACTGAAAGTAGGTGTAAAAATTCAGTTGCATTTCTTTTGTAGAACTTGAATTCATTATATCAATTATAACTCCTTTTTCTTCTGTTATTTAGGCAGTAGAAAAGGTTTTAGCAGGATCTATAAGGAGAGAAATGGCGCTTGAAGAGCTTTGTGCCAAGCAGACTTCTGACATAATGCAGCTTAATCGCCTGGTGAACTTCTTTCTGTTTTAGCAACAACCATCTCATTGTCTTTGGTGTACGCTGTTGTTAATGTATGTTTTCTGTTTATTTGTAGGTGGAGCAGTACAGGCATGAGAGGGAATGCGATGCTATAATTTCACAGACACGGGAAGAAAAGATTCTTCGTCTTGAGAGCCTCATGGATGGTATTTTACCCACTGAAGAGTTCATGGAGAAAGAACTAGTGGCTCTAAACCATGAACACAAGGTAGAAATATGTTCTTCTACGGTTTCGCATTTATGAACAATAGTCTAATCTTAGATGCTCATACTGTATAATTACTATCAACAGATCTTAAAGGAGAAGTACGAGAATCATCCAGAAGTTTTAAAGATGAAGATAGAGTTGAAATCTGTGCAAGATGAACTAGAAAAGTATCAAAATTTGTACAAATTTGGGGAGAGAGAAGTACTGATGGAAGAGATACAAAGTTTAAGAAGCCAGCTTCAACTTTATATTGACTCTTCATCCACATCAGCAACCCTCACTGGCATTCCAGAGAGAGATGAGACAAATGAAATTTTAACATCATCCAAGAACGATATCGAACCAAATGGAATACTGGCATCATCCAAGAACGATAATGAAAATGAAATTCTAGCACAATTTGAACAAGAAAGAATTAAATGGAAAGAAGCAGAAAGCAGGTGGATTTCTCATTCTGAAGAACTGAAAAATGAGCTTGAAAATAGCAGGTTGCTATCTGAAAAGTGGAAGCGGGAATTAGATGATGAGAGGCAGTGTACTCAGGAACTTCAGGAAGCCATGCACATGGCTATAGAAGGGCATGCAAGACTTTTAGAACAATATGCAGATTTGGAAGAGAAACACATCCATTTGCTCTCAAGGCATAGACAGATCCAAGAAGGAATTGGGGATGTCAAGAAAGCGGCTTCCAAAGCAGGAGTAAGAGGTGCAGAGTCTAAATTCATAAATGCCCTTGCTGCTGAAATTTCAGCTTTAAAAGCTGAAAGAGAAATAGAACGGAAAATCTTAAAGGATGAAAATAAAGGGCTTCAGTCCCAGTTGAAGGACACTGCAGAAGCAGTACAAGCTGCTGGTGAACTGCTTTTGCGGCTTGAAGAGGCTGAAGAAGCTATCGCTACTGCACAGGTTAGCAACAAATCACCTCTATGTTTGGTTTCATCAACTGAATGACTTAAATACGAGTCAAAATACGTTTTTTCACTAGTATGTTTGGTTTTCCGCCTCTGTTTTTTGTCATCATCATTCAAAGGACTAAAATTTAGTCCCACGTTTACTGTACTCTCATAGAACTAATTTGTTACTACAAGGACTAATTGTTTATTGATATTTTTTGTGAACACATATTTTGTGAATATTCTGCTTTTTTATTCTCAAGCTCTCAAGAAATTGAGAAAATGATAGTCGTAAGAGGGGCTTGCTCGTAGGTTTCCTATTATTAACTTCTGAGGTTGGAGCCTGACATTTTTAACATATGAAATTTGCAGAAACGGGCTGTGGATGCAGAACAGGAAGCTGCCAAGGCCTACAAACAAATTGAAGAGTTGAAGAAGAAACATGAGAAGGAGATTATCACACTTAATGAGCTCCTTGCAGAAGCACGTTTGCCGAAGGAATCTGTACGACCAACTTATGATGACGATGTTGTCATGCCCAGTTATAACGACGACGACGACTCAAAGGAGCCAAACAGTGTTAATAATAATAGTAAAGCAGAGGATGGCGAGCTTGCCAAACTAGCAGAACCATCATGGTTCTCTGGTTACGATAAATGTAACGTATAAATATATCATCACATTACATTGTGTCATTTGTATTAATTTGTTCATATATGATGATTGTATTCTTTAGTTCTTACTTTTTGTGAGCATAAACCATTTTCTCTCGCATTTATCCCTTACTCTAAACCCTATTTTGAGTAGCCACATTTACCTGATAGAGAGATTGTAGGTTGCAAAGTCGATGATACAGTTCTTCATTCTTTGTTATTCTTTAATCCAATTTATAAAATTATTATCATTAATATATTTTCATATTGGTTTTGTCTTTAATCCAATATACCTGTAATTTGGGCTGGAAATGAAAATAAATTTAATTGAATCAAAATGCTCTGCTATTTATGTATCTTCTTTATTAGTTTGTATTAAATCGTTATTTTTTTGTAATTTTTAATAGATAATTTTGGTTTGGTCTCGTAATTTTTTTCTGTGTTGCTTAAAAATGTTCTGTGATTATATAATGTTACTAGACGAATTTGAAGACATGATGAATAACATAATCTACAAGTGATAAAATATATACTTTATATTAATTTAATAATTAAACACTTGAACTTTAAAAATAAACAATTAAATAAAAGTATTTGCTTACAATTTATATTCAAAATTAGTCTATTAATTCTTATTATTACTTTTTAGAAATTTTATTTAAAAACAAATCAAAATACAATTTGAAAAGGGAACTTCTCTCCATTTTTTCTGGAGACATTTACGATATGTTTTTCTCATCGCTTTTTGAAAATAACATTCACATTTTATTTTGCAACTAACATGAATTTTCTTTCTCAACTATTTAATATTATTATTTGTCTTTATATATATATATATTTAATTGCGTATATTCTTTATATTTTTACATCTTAAAAAAATAAAATCATACTGAACGAGAAAAGAAATATTGCGATTATATAACTATACCTAGAAAATGATAATACTAAAAGAAATGAGAATTCACCAACATACAAATAAAAATAATTATCATAATAATGAAATTGCGCAATAAAATATATATACGAAAAGCAGATATCAAAACAAGTATCTTTAGTTATGTCTATTAATATTAGTAGAAATACATATGTTATCACGTATGCGTGGTTATTTTTCTATAAAATAAAAAAATGTTATCGGAACATAAAATATAGTTATTTCATAATAAAAGTAAAATTATTAAAATATATAGACAATGAAAAACCAATTACTGGATATTTTCAGTGTTTGGATAAAAGTAATTATAGGTTTCATTCTATATATAACTATAAATTTAATTATTTTATACATATAAGGCAGAACTTACTAATCCCCTTCTTGAAACGATTCTGTATTTTGTTTTTCACTTTCTTCGCCCAGCAGAAGCAGAGTGACGTTGAATAGAACAATGGCGCCTCCCCTGGCCAAAGTTCTGATGGTGAGATCAATTCATTCCTCACATGGATGTTGCTTCCATGAGTTGTTCTCGTCTTTGTTGTTTTTGTGACCTTTTCTTCTATGGCTTTCCTTTCAGGTCGCAGAGAAACCTAGCATCGCTCTATCTATTGCTTCTGTTCTCTCTCGCTCTCAGGTACTCATTTCGCATCCTCTCCGTCTTACTTCAAAACCTATATAAATGTTTCCTCCGTTCAAAACCTAGTCGTAGTGCCATTTGTAGCTTTGCTTCAAATTCCTCCTAAAATGAAAAATGAAAACTAAACGGTTACTCAAAAATGCAATCGAGTTCTCTCTCTCTCTCTCTCTCTCACACACACACACACACACACACACGCATTGGAGTTATTTACACTGCTATTCAATCACGATGTTACCATGTATGATAAGTTTATTTACTTCTATAATTTAATTAGAACTCACTGACAGTTTTTACTATGTGATTCAATCACATATTGTCATGTGTGATAAGTTTGTTAACTTTTATAATACATACTCTAAAAGTCATACTTGAGATATGTGATTGATTATCTGTATAAAAAATTTACACTGAGCATATAAATCTTTATATTAGCTGTACAGCAACGTTAAACTTTATTATTGTTATTAATTGTTTAGAATGTTATTTTTGTATATTATTTTTAACAATAACTTCTCGAAGCACATTATGTAAGCAGATGTTTACGAGAAGGGGAAGCACGGAAGTTCATGAATTTGACGGGAAGTTTCTTGGATCGCCTGCACATTTTAAAGTAACATCAGTTATTGGGCACGTATTCAGGTCCTTTTCTTATCTTTTTCGCGGGGATCACTTATTAAGATTTTCCTTTAAGCTTTTTATTTTTTGTATATATCCTTTGAAATATTATATGATGCATTTGCACTCCTTGTGTATATCAAATGGAATTTGTATTAGATTAATTTTAATGAATATTGTAGAAATTCACGGTGAGTGGCATGCAAAGCAAGAAATTCTCTATTACGATGCTGTTGCACAACTTCCATATGATCAAAGGAAGGAAAAGATAGTGCACCAGTGATGATTAAATCACTGGAGTTGTTTTACATGAGCCTATATTTCTAGTTTGCGGTATAATCTTATTGTCATTGAAAGTATAGCAAGTGTCTTGTATTCTACTAATTTTTTTATGGTTGGAAGTATTTATGGTGCAAACAATGCTATTGGGTCTCACTACATGTTACACATGTCTCTAATCCTGAGTGTTTCAAGTATTCACTGTGGGTTTTCTACCTTTTGTTGATAATCTAGTGTAGATTTTCCTGCTAAATATCAAGATTGGTCAGCCACAGATCCGTTAGATCTTTTTCAGGCTCAGGTTATAAAGAATGAGTCAAACCCAAAGGTATTCCTCCACAATCTTTCCTTTTCAGTATTATTTCCTGCTTTTCTTTGATATCTGTGGTTTGTTGATGGATATGATTCACAAATCCCAATAGAAGAGGCTTAGTTGTTATTGCATTAGCTCCTCTATGCTTTTTCATAAAATCATTTATGCATTATTTTGAGTTATTGGGAGCAAGATAGATTGCTTTTGTCTTTGTTTTCCTAACTGAAACTGAAACCTAATTTCATGATGCTTTATATGTGCATAGCTAGTAAGAAGTTAGACCAGATATTAACAGCAAATTGTTGTTAGTGATCTACGAATGACAAATAGATATAGCTTTTTATCACAAATAATTATGTGTACAGAACAATTATTATTAAGAGATTTTCAGAAGTTATTAGGAAGTGAAAGCTAGCTGCTGAACTGAATGATGTACTACCCTTGTATATGCAACACACCAAAAGGATAGAGGTAAGGGCATAAAAGGCCATTTTGTGTGCTACAGCTGGCTGAAGAAAAAGCTGACAAAGTTCATAAACTTGGTAGACACATTGCTTTTAGAAGCAAAATTGTCGTAGCTTTGGAAAAAAAAAATGAAGCCAAATAGTGCTATAACTCTAAAATATCCTATTAAGTGAATTTAGTGGCCTTTAAAAATGGACGTGCGCACACTTTTCACAGTTGTGTTGACAATGATTTGTTACTTTGTATTTGCATTTACTTATAACAATGAGAAAAATGAGAACTAAGTTGTAGGGTATAGATTAGTTGGTCAAAGAAGGTCTGATATCATTTCTAAGTTTCACTTGACATTGACTCATAGCAATGGTTGAAAAATATTTATTTAAGCAGCTTCTGTTTCAGTGGTGTAAGTTTTGATACCGTTTTAAATGCTTTTCACAGGCTGTTGTAAAGGCCTGATTATATTATATTGAAATGACTTGAGCTTTTTCTGGCATTCATTCCACCTCCCTACATTTTGAAGAGTGTTAATTGCACTAATGGTTGAAAACTGCTTACAAATTGAGTTATAATGCCTGTGGGCATTTGTCATTTATAGTTGATTTTGTTGTGATGATTTCCTGCAGTTACTAACACATTTTGTTTCATTCAGGCGCATATTTGTAGACATTTAAGTCAAGAAGCTCGTGGATGTCATTATTTGGTATTGTGGTTAGATTGTGATCGCGAAGGAGAAAATATATGTTTTGAGGGTAACTATATTGTTTTTCTTTTTAACATATATGTCACTACTCTTGTTATCCTTCTTTATTTTTTGATGATTATAACCAGTCTGTACTCCATCAATGGAATGCAAAATTAGTTGTTGTGAGTTTATATTTGGTTTTTGATAAAAAAAAAAACGAACCTATCCCTTTGAACAATATCTACTTCTAGTTGTCTAAGGTAACCTGCACAAAAAGAAATAAATTGAACATTAAAATGTAAAAAAATGCTGCCACAGTACTCTTGTTGATGAATGAACAAGACTCTTTAGCTCAATTTCTGTCCTTTAGAACGACTATCAGTCAATAGCCACTAGATTTGTTTAATAATGGCACCTTAAATTTGCATCTAAAATTATATCCTTTCTTTGTTTTAGTTACTCTTTTAGGTACTCTGAAGAAATTACCAGCTAAGAGTGGCCTTCTGTGCATTGTTTCAAGTTGTTTATCTTATTTTATCTACTTATTTTTTGGTGCTTTGTTTGTATTGGTTACACACACAAGCAGAGGTTGGCCTTCCCAACATTTCAATTTCCCTTCCCCATTCAAAGTGAACATTTAATCTCACCTTGTATTATAATGGGATATCTTGTTTTATTCAGATCATGCTTTCACATTCAGTATTTCTTGAAATGAGTTAATCAACTTCAAAATTTCAAATCATATTTTGAACCATATGAAATATTGAATGTTGTTGCAGTTATACAGTGTACTGGTTTCAAAACAAATGATACTTATCGTGCACGGTTCTCTTCTGTTACTGAGAAAGATGTTGTGAATGCTTTAGATAACCTTGTCAGACCTAACAAAGACGAGGCATTAGCTGTAGATGCTAGGCAAGAGATAGATTTGAAGGTTGGAGTTGCCTTTACTCGATTTCAAACAAGTTATTTCCAGGGAAAATATGGGAACCTAGATTCCAGGGTCATCTCGTTAGTTTTCTTATCTCTGTTTTACTTTTATTGTTGTTTATCTTGTATTGTATTATCTGTTATGCCATATTTCTGATTAGTTATTTTTTATTTAATTTGTAAAGAATGATAGTCTTTGATTTTTAACTGTGTTGATTGGTATTGTGAGATCCATGCAGCCCATCTCACCTTATGGGATAAGGCTTAGTTGTTGATTATGATGATGATTGTGATGGAACCAAATGAGAAGGACTACCACAGGGGTAGTGAGCTAGCACATGAGGACAAAAAGTTTGTTTACAACAGTAGACAGGTGGCAAAAGATCACGAAAAGAGGGGAGTGCGAACAACCAGAGAGAGGAAACCAAATCCCAAATTACTTGATTACGTTTGGGGGGATGAAATATATGGGAAGGGAGGAGAGAGAAAGGAGAGGAGGGAATTTTGGCTGAGAATGGTTCATTGGTGAGAGGAGGGAGACTCTGTGGATTCTTCTACTCTTTGTTTCCGAATTTTCTTGCTAATCTGTACTCGCTATAATAGCCTTCATCAGTGTCAGTAGCCCATTACTAATAATATGAGTGCAGATCGTTATTAATAATGATGAAGAAGAATTATAATCATATCTTGTTATTTAAAATTATTTAAAATCAGAATATAGAACTTGTACGAATCCAGAGTAGCAACAGCCGGATAGACCTTTGGAGTTTAGTGCTTCAACTATTAACCTTGCCACAGGAAATGCCAAAATTTAAGAATTAGCTAGTTGATGTTGATTGCAGTGTGGCTTTACTTAGTTTTAGGTCTGTAAATTGGACAGGAGAAATGTCAGCCAGTTGAGACTACTGAATCACACAAGTCTGCTAACATCTTTAAGTCCACAATGCTTAAAAGCCTCGATCTGTTTCTGCAAGTCAAAAAGAAAAGACTGATCAAATTTTTTATTCTTCTTGCAAATACTGCTGATCTCAAGATCAGCTTGGTATATATAATGAATCCATTTTCTTTTAGTTCAAGCTTTTGGATCAATTAGTAATGTGATATGATATACTAGTTCGGTTCTCTTTCAATTTTTTATTCAAGTAGCTATTAACCCCTTTGTAATAAATTAATGGTTATGTCATCGTTATTTCTTTGCTGTGTTTTGTTTTGTTCTGTTCTGCTATTCTTGTTCTTTTATACATTCAGGACCTGAGACTGGTTAGGTTCCTAGTTTTGACATGCATTGCCACCTGGTAATGCAAACTGCAACATCTTCTCTAGATCTACTTGCATCTCAACTTTTTCAGAAGCAGGAAATTACATATCACAAAATTTATAATTTCTAATTTATCATCATTCTTGAGTCAATAATTTTATCTTGGTTAAGTTTTTGATTGTGCTAATTGCTGCCAATGTCAGCTATGGACCGTGTCAGACTCCTACTTTAGGATTTTGCGTGCAGCGGTATTTACAAATAAACACTTTCAAGCCAGAAAAGTTTTGGAGTTTGCACCCTTACATAATTCAAAATGGCTATGAAATTCAGCTAGAATGGCAACGTGGGAAATTGTTTGACATAAATGTGAACTATTATTCTATTCTTTTATATTTGTGTTCTTTCTTTGTCACAAGCCAACAAGTGAAGGACACCCTTTTTATACTTTTATGGCATTTCAGGTTGCTATGATGTTTCAAAAGCTGGTTTCCGAGGATGGACTTTTGGAAGTTACTGAAATATCAGAAAAGCAAGAAACCAAAAGTCGCCCTGTTGGTCTAAACACAGTGAATCTTCTAAAGGTTAGGAATCACATGGAGAAGATAACATTTTATACTATAAATAATGGCTAAATTTGAATTGTCTGTGCATATATTAGATGCAAAATTTCACTGTTATGGAATCATGTTTTATTTGGGGGAACTCTGTTCATATTTGTACTCAAATCTGCGGCCGCCCTAAAAGTTTGATTATTTCTATAATTTATTCAGAATTCAGTGTTTATTTCTTGAGTTAATGTACAATAACTTGGGTGTATGTTCGTTCCAGGTTGCTTCAAGTGCTCTAGGATTTGGACCTCAGATGGCTATGCAACTAGCTGAACGGTTGTATACTCAAGGATTCATCAGGTTTTCTCTCTATCTGTTAGTCTTGTATTTTAGTAATGTTATATTTACTTAGTTTCTAGCATGTACTAAGATTTGATTGGTTTTTGCACAATGTTTCTCAAGCTATCCACGCACGGAAAGTACAGCATACCCTCCTTCATTTGACTTTCGTGGTGTACTCTCTGCACAAGCAAATAATCCAACATGGGGTAATTATGTACAAGGGCTACTTACCACTGGTTATCAAAAGCCTCGATTGGGAACAGATGCAGGTGACCATCCTCCCATTACTCCAATGATATCAGCAGCAGAAGATATGCTGGGCAATGATGCTTGGAAGCTGTACCAATATATTTGTCAACACTTCATAGGTACAGTGTCTCCCGACTGCAAGTATATAAGGTAAGAAATTATATTGTTTCAACATATCTTGATAACCACCTTATGGTTTTGACTTCATTCAAGTAATTCCACAAATGTCCCATACCTTTTTTTTGGATTGTGTTATCAGAGGCAATCTTGTTAATTTATGCTTGTTGTGGTCTCTCCTTGTTATGTATTTAAATATTTAGTTATTATGATAATGGTAGAAATACTGGTTTACCGAGTACAGTACAGATGTTAAACATTCTATAACAATGTAATAGGTCAAGTCACTTCATCAATTCATAGATGTAGGCTCTACAACCTATTTGAATTTTCTCTCTTCCAATTTTTCCTTCTCAGCCTGTATCAAATTGCATATGCTGGAAGATTCAGGATGTGGCTTCCCCCATATTGTTGTCATAATAATATAATTTCTACAGAATATATTGACATAATATTTGCGCTACTTTCTTCTAAACTTAACCTTTATCTAAATCATTGCAAATATTCACATTCCCTTGCTTTATGGACTTGATAAAGATTTAGTTTATTCATACATTATTGTCTTCCTTTCAGGAGAAAGGTTGAGTTTTCCATTGGCGGAGAGTCCTTTCATTGTATAGGGCAGCAGGTTGTCACCAAAGGATTTACTGCTATTATGCCTTGGTTGGCCTTAAATGATAAAAATATTCCATCGTTTATAAAAGGGCAGAAAATAGAAGTATCAAAACTGGAGTTCTATGAGGTAACTGTGGTACCTCCTGACTAAAATTCAGATTCTGTATGCAGTATTTTAGATTTGATCCTAAATTCTAGTCATTTCTAATCGTTTTTGTTTTGTTTTGTTTTTGGGTGGTGGGGTAAAAGGCCATAAAAGGAACTGTTCATTTTTTATATTCATAGGGATGGTTGAATCATATAAATAACCATTTATGGGAAGAAGAAAAATGTTGAAACTCATTTCACATTTGAGTTCTGTATATATTACAGATTGCTAACACCACGAGTTCTACAGGGGAGTACCAGTGCTCCAGATTACCTTACCGAAAGTGAGCTGATATCCCTGATGGAGAAGAATGGAATAGGAACAGATGCATCAATTCCTGTACACATTAACAACATATGTGAGCGGAATTATGTGCAGGTAATAGATATAGACAGGTGGACTATATAGATGCATCACTGTCTGTAAACTCATCTAGTCAAATTGCAGGTACAAGCAGGCAGAAAGCTTGTCCCAACCACATTAGGCATAACATTAGTAAGAGGTTACCAAACTATAGATCCAGATCTCTGCCTGCCTGATATTCGTAGCTTCATTGAGCAACAAATTACTCTTATTGCCAAGGGTCAGGTGGATCATCGTCATGTGGTGCAGCATGTAATCCAACAGTTCAAGCAGAAGTTTAGTTACTTTGTCAAAAAGGTTGCCTAACTATGGTTTAGTGCTTGTTCTTGCCTTCTTGGTGATAATATATGGTTCTATTTGATATATATATATATATATATATATATATATATTTTTTTTTTTTTTCAATTTTCACAACTCAATAGGTTTTTATTTATTTATACTAAATAATTTGTCTTGATTTAAGTTTGTTTTCTGCTAGATCCTCCTTCCTCCAACCCTATCGTGAAGATCATGCTCTTTTGAACTTGTTTGATAAAAAATTAAAAATTAATTGATGCTCTTGTTTTGGATCAGGTCACAGTTTATCCTCTATTTCCCTGGCTTGGTTACATCTTTTGCTTGTCTTCCCACCTACGCTTACTGTTGTATGTCAAACCTTTTATTAATAAGATATGCTTGTGTAAAACTTTGAAGTTTCGAACTCCTTTTGGAGCATCCGCCAGTTGATGCATGTTGGATTTATGTTATCAAGAAATGTTTCACGTCTTTCTTCTATATTCTTTCATTTTCAAATATTGTCCACAATGAATCACCGTTACATTTGCTACTTAGTTGTACATGGATGTATGCTACATTGTTCTACTAATTCTGTTGCTTTCTATCTTGCTCAGATTGAAGACATGGATGCATTGTTTGAAGCACAGTTTTCTACGCTTACCGATTCAGGACGAATTCTGAGTAAATGTGGTAAATGCTTGAGATATATGAAGTACATTTCTACTCAGCCTTCACGATTGTATTGTGGTACATGTGAGGAGGTCTATTATCTTCCACAGAAGGGAGCAATCAAGGTAGTATCATATAACCTGTCTAATAATATCAACTTCTGAAAAACTGTTTAATTTTTGTGAATGGATGTTATTGTGAATTGCATTGATTTAACAACTACTATGTCACTATAATTGGAGGATGCCTATGAATGTTCCTTTAAGATTATTAAGGACCTACACTATGTGTGCTATCATGCACCAGTGACTTCATCGTTTATTAGATCATGAGCAAGAGGACTTTTAACGTACCTTTTTACCATTCAGTTCCTTCCTAACTTGTCTAAACTTGTATTCATCTTTAATATTTGGGCTTCTCTCCCTACGATATATGGAACAAAGATAAGAAAGAAGGGACTTGGGTTTTAGTAATATTTGTTTAAACACACTGCTCCAGAGGATTGAGTATGAATATAGAATCATCACTTTGGAAGGTTAACAGTAATTGAGTCGGAATCATGGTAATAAGATTTCGCAAAAATGATATGGAACTGAATGATTGATATATTTCACGGTATTAAAAAATTCAGAGCCAACAGCTTATACAAGATACAAGCTGAAGGAAAAAGATATAACAGTAAAGATAAAGGCAAAATAGAATACGGATGTAAGAAGCTAACAAAATAATTGTTATTCTCCTAATACATGTTGCTACCCATTTGAATATTTACTGTTTCATTTAATCTTTGTTGCTATTGTGTTGTTTGGTGTGCCAAATGCTTGTCATTCATATTTGCTTTAACTTTTTCTGCAGCTGTACAAAGAGCTGTCTTGTCCTTTAGACAATTTTGAGCTTTTGATTTGCTCCATGCCTGGTCCGGATGGTAAATCATTCCCACTATGCCCATACTGCTACAGTAATCCCCCATTTGAAGGCATTGAAGCACTCATCAATACCGCTAAAACTGGTACTGCTGGCAAGATTGGCAAGGGAGCTGGCATGCCCTGCAGCCTATGCCCTCATCCCAGTTGCCCAAATTCTCTGGTTTCCCAGGGTGTATGTGCTTGCCCAGAGTGCAGTGGAACACTTGTCTTAGACCCAATAAGTGCCCCTAGATGGAGACTTTGTTGTAATATGTGCAATTGCCTAGTCTTTCTTGCTCAAGGTGCTCATAGAATCTCCACAACTAAAGAGCGGTGCCCTGAATGTGACTCTTCAATCATAGAAGTAGACTTCAACAAGAAAACAACACCTCTGGAAGACGGAGCAACCTTGCACCGTGGCTGCATTCTATGCGATGAGTTGTTACATTCCCTTGTGGAAATGAAACACGGTAGAAGTTTCAAGCACATGAGCTCACGAGGGAGAGGTAGAGGAGCAAGAAAAGGTGGCAGGGGCAGAGGACGCGGGGGTGGAAAAATGATGGATCCAAAAATGAGTTTCCGAGATTTCTAAATAATGCTCATCTGTTCATATTTCTGTAGCTGTAATTTGTATACGTTTTCTAAAACAAAAAGGAATATTTATTACATATAGCTTGAGTTATCCTTTGATTGATTATTTCGCCAAAAAAAAAAAAAAAATCCTTTGATTGATTATTGGTTGTTTAGTTACATTAACAACAGATAGCAAATGTTGAGGGTTTTTTAGTTTTCAAAACTAGATGCATACATAAGTGGCACTTGTGTTCAACACAATTTTTGTTCAAAGAATATTTATCTGTGTATTGTTAACAATAGTATGTATTTTTGTACAAAGAGTTCTTGAAAACTTTATAGTATTTGGAAGGGTTGTTATAAGACTGATGTTTTGTCAATTACACAATTTAGGTGGCCGTAAAATATGTAAGTGTATACTTATTGAGAGGAGAGGTTATTTTTACGAGAACCGAATGCATAAATTTGAGTCACATAGTCGTACATGGATTCTCAAGATATTTTTTAGAAGTACTGTATTTTTAAAATTAATATGATGCGTGTATTTTAATCTTGATAATTTATGATTAAATTTGATTATTGGAATTCCCTACCAGTAGTATATGTATGTCTATAGAGAGATTAAGTTAAACTAACGTGAATTATATTTTTCTTTACATCTCTAGTATTTTTCTATAAATTTAATTTTTATTAATAGTTAAATTATAATTATATATTATCTATATTATTTTATCAATTTGAGTAATAAGAATAAAATAAAATTATTTTTATTTTTATATACTTTAAAAATATATATTTAATTTTGATGTATATTTTGAATTAATTTAATAATGCATTTTGCAATAAATTTATCCTACTAAGACTTAAGATTAATATTAATGGTAATTTATATAATACATCATATTTATTATTGTTATCTCTTTCTTAAATACATCTTAAATTATATATTCTCTGTTACTTTCTTTTTTATGTCAACAATTTCCTCATTCATAAGGAGTAATAAATATTTTTAATTTATTAAAAAATATATACTAATTTTCATACTATCTTTTATCTCTCCTATTTATTAATTATAAATTCAAAAATATAATTAATAAAACATAATTAAGAGTATATTAAACTTCAAAATGTAACATATAAACGAAATTAGAAAAATTATGACAAAAAAGGAGAGAGAGAGGAAGTAATATCATTCCTTTCTTCCCATTTCCCTACTATAATCTACTATTACAATATTTATTCTTTATTTCTTCAAAACATATACACCTAAAGAAAAGCGTGAAAAAAAAAACAAAAAACAAGGTTTCGAATTAATGCGTTGTCAAGCATCTGGTTGTAATGGACACTGGAAGAAGTTAATCCAAATGGGATTTACACTTTCCAAAACCTGAAAAGAAGAAGCAAGTTTTCTAGTAATCTTTTTATGGATATTGGGGTTGCAAACCAAACACCAACGTTGTCGTGTCTAACCCACCCAGGAATATATATCCCGCCGAATAGAGTAGAGGCACTGTCTGTTGTGTATTGTGTTGGACAATATAACAACTAACAAGAAGATAACAAGAGAAGTAAAGGGTAGTATTGTCATTTACTGACCTGAATTGTCTTTTTGTCCTAATTTTATTTCCCACTTTCCATTCAGGCTGGCTCAGCTCAGCTCAGCACAGCAAAATTAATTCTTAAAACGCACCACACAACACCCACCCTTCTAAGCACTGCGCTTCTGCTCTCTCCCCTTCTCTCTCTGCAACTGCAAGCTTAGTTTGGTACTCTCAATCTTACTCCTTCCACTTCTTCAACTTTTGTTTCTTCTCCCCTTGTCAACTTTCAAATTAAAGTTTCATACTCTCAAATTCCAATTCCGCTATACTGTTATTAACACGTCTCTCTTTCATTCAGGCTTTGTTTTATTCATCAATTTGGGGTTCTTTGCTTCAATGGCCGCTTCTGGCTATATATCTGCTGCCAACTTGAATTGCCTTGTTGGCGCCAGAAACCTGTTCAATCCCAAACTGGGTTCCGCAGATGCCACAATTTCGTTATCGTTTGGTGGGAGCGACTCTATGGGTTTTAGTGTTCGACCCGCGTCAGTTCGTGCTCCTAAGAGGAATCATTTCTCTCCTTTGCGCGTCGTTTGCGTAGATTATCCACGACCGGAGCTTGAAAGCACGGTTAATTTTATTGAAGCCGCGTACTTGTCTTCCACCTTTCGTGCTTCCCCGCGTCCACTACAACCCTTGAAGATCGTTATTGCCGGTGCAGGTAATAAGCAAGCTATGCCCATGCTTATACGTTTCGTTTTACGCATGAAAGTTGTGTTTTTTGCTGCCAAATTTTGTATTTATTTCTTGCTTTAGTTGTTCTGGGTGTTTTCAGGTTAGGACCTGTTATCCCCTTTTCATTTAATGCATTGTCTTTTAGTGTTGGTGTGTGTTAGAACATAGGAGCCTGCTTCGGCTTGGCATTGGTAATTCCTTTATTTGTGATTAGATAGATATACGCATCCAATGCTGAATTCCAATGTGTTGTGATAATACCGTTTCTGTAAGCAAAAAAGTTATGGAATTATAGCATCTTCAATTTTTGGTGAAGTTTCAAATTAAAGGTACCCTGATATCATGTTTGATATTTAGAGATAAAGCTTGTTTGTAAACTAATCTTTGCACATGAATTTTGATCTCTCTGTCTTTTATGGGTTGATGCATGTTTCAAATTATTGCAGGATTGGCTGGTTTATCAACTGCAAAATATTTGGCTGATGCTGGGCATAAGCCTATATTACTGGAATCAAGAGATGTTCTTGGTGGAAAGGTTTTCCTGCTAATTTGATCCCTTTTGTCATTAATTTGTCACTTTTTACAACGTCTGTCCATCATTTTAGCATGTTTTTTAATTAGATAAGAATTTTGTTTGTGTTGTTCCATGATAATCTATTCGTTGTGTTGGGTATATAGCTTCATCACCAGGCTTCCACAGTATATACAACGTATTTATAATAAATCAATTTTAATGCATTGTATTTTTATACTATTAGGTTGCAGCGTGGAAAGATGAGGATGGAGACTGGTATGAGACAGGTCTACACATATTCTGTAAGTTCATTAAAATCTCTGGCATAACTTTTTTTTTTTTTTTTTTTGCTACGCATTTATTTCCTTAACTCTTCTTTTAAAATTTCTGCTTTCAATTTTGATATATTATGCTTTTATTGATAGAGTTTTTTCCTTTGATAAAAGAGAATCAGAAAAAGAGTAAAAAGCTGGAGGATCAGGAATATTTCTAAGAGACACAAAAGAAATCATATTATTTAATCAATAAACATCCTTAATTATTAGAATCCTTTTTTTTGTAGTAATCTTTGAATTACAACCTTTTCTCCTTCCCCACAGTTGGGGCTTACCCTAATTTGCAGAACCTATTCGGAGAACTTGGCATTAATGATCGTTTACAATGGAAGGAGCATTCCATGATCTTTGCTATGCCAAGTAAGCCTGGCGAGTTTAGTCGATTTGATTTTCCTGAAGTGCTTCCTGCCCCATTAAATGGTAAGATGTAAGTCTTCTTATAGGTGTGCATATTTATATATATCTAACTGATGTTGGATTTCTCTATAAAAAGTACATTGAATGCCTTTATCTTTAAAAAGCCTACAATACAGAATTTGCAGTTGTCTACTTCAAAATGTGTAATACTATCTAGTAATTATCTTGCCTATGTTATGGCTAGTGCCTCGAAAACCAGAATCCAAGTTAACAAATTCTTAGTTTCCTTGGATGTTTTAACACAATTCACTAGTCAAATTTTGATTTTGAAAATATATAAATGAGTTCAACAATAGCTGAAACAAGAGGGGTTAAGTTGGTTCCATTTTATGTAAGTTAAAGATTGCAAAGGTAAACAGGGAACAAGCATTTTAGCTTGGTTTCTATATTCTTTTACTCTTATTTTTATCTCTTGCTTGACTAGTCTTGTTTGGAGGAATTTTCCCCTCTAAAAATGACCAACTGATGCTTGAATTCTCCAATTTTAGTTTAACAGCTACATCATTCCCGTTCTAAGATTCTGTATCATTATGCCTTGCTAAATATTAACGGTATTTACAAGTTGCATGCCATGAATCTGATAACAGGAATATGGGCAATATTGAGGAACAATGAGATGCTGACATGGCCAGAGAAAGTCAAATTTGCAATTGGGCTTCTGCCAGCTATGCTTGGTGGACAGGCATATGTTGAGGCCCAAGATGGTCTTTCTGTTAAAGAATGGATGATAAAGCAGGTATAGCACTTGTCTTGATTATATAACCTTACCAGTAGATCAATAGATTTTAAGTAACATGGCTATATCACCAGTCATAACCTAATGTGTCTTAAAAGTTGCAAAGACTAGTTTGTTTTCTGTGGGTGTAGTCTTGACCATCTGTCGGTTATTTTGAAATGGGTTGATTTAGGAATAGACTTTCAAATGACATGATGATGACGGCAATGGGTCCTTTTGTCATTAGAGTTTAATTGGTTAACTCAGATGAATCTCATATTACTGTCTTAATGCATTTATAGTTATCAATTTGAAACTCAAACTAAGATATTTATATTTGTATGAAGTAATGTACTGAGATATTTTCATTACATTAGAATGAATTAGTTGATGATTCATATGTAGAATTTATCATTCAAATTTGAAAGGGCAAGTCATTTTCTAAGATTAGTACAATGTAATGGTGCAATGTGACCTCATCACAATTACAGCTGCATTGTTGAAAAAAAAATAAAAAAATACTACGGGAAGAATGGAGGCACTCACATTTTTGTTTGACCGAAGAGGATTCAAAGTTAATTTTGGGGTGCTGTCTTTTGGTTGGCTTGGTCATCATTCTTCAAACAATCAGAACACTGATGTGGGCTTTATTTGTAGCTGCCATAGTTATTTACCTTTCTTTAGGAGGGGAGTATTGATAGATACTCACCGGTAGTTAGTTAAGTCTCTGGTAGTGATGGAGTTTGTAAGGTTAATTGGTTGAACCGTTGAAGAAATAAAGCATATTGCCAATAGATGAGAGGGTTTGAGAGGTAGGGATAGTTCTGTCATTTTAGACAATGGGGGCATGGACACTGGGAGATGCAACCTCTCGAAGTTCTGCAAGTTGGGCACTGTATTGAGAGGATAAATCCCTTACTCTTTCTATTATACCTAGTTTCTATCACTCTCCTCTAAAGAAGAAAAAAGTCCATGCTCCATAGCCTATTTTAAAGGATTCCAACACTTCATCATAGATGATATGATGTTTTGCTTTGATTATTTCTGACATTCCCTTTGAATTTCCTCTTTTCTCTGTGCTAAAATTTCTTTGTTTATTTTTTACCCTAAAAAAGAATCTTTCATAAATGGAAGTACAGTATTAAAACTACTATTGCTTTACTACATTTTATAAAATTAATTTATTCCCCTTCTAAACTTGATTATATCTATTAAAACTGATGCTTATAGTCTTTCTGGAAACTTAGGAGAGAAATAAATAAGAAAAATTGGTTTTAGAAAAGGGAAATAAGTACATTTTTTTTCTTCTCTCTATAAGGAAGATTGTCTATGCTGCATGCCTTCATTAGTGTAGTTAATGTTATTTACTATAAAATAAATTTCTATACTGGAGACCAACAGGGATATAGATGAAGTTTTCAGGTTAGCCATGTATATCTGGATTGAAATTCTGATCATTTTGGTCCCGCTTGAGGTGCAGGGGGTTCTGTGTTCCAAAAATGGAAGAAAGAATAAACTAATTCTGTATATTGTATTTTTTATTTATCTCTTAATTTAATGAGGGCAATTATAGTAATTTACTTTACTGGGAAATATAGAAAGGATATCTATATTATAGTTGTAATTGTTAGACTGTAGTACTTGATAATGCTTTAAAATAGATTCCATCTACCTTAGGTTGATTTCACAGGAACAGAATGCAGCCTTCTCATTGTAAGTGTTGCAAATAATTTGAGTATAACAAATTGTTTTCTCCTTATGATAGGGTGTACCTGAACGAGTAACTGACGAGGTATTCATAGCAATGTCAAAGGCACTAAACTTCATCAATCCTGATGAACTTTCAATGCAATGTATATTGATTGCTTTAAACCGATTTCTTCAGGTACGATCATTTCCTTTCCTTAAATACTGTTCCACTAGTATAATTGTGCGATGGACAAGGTCATTCTATTCCTGTTATAGTAGTTGAATAGAATCAGATTAGTAATAAAGTCTAAGATGGCCTTTCGTTTCACAAATGTTTAGTGGAACTTATGATCATGTTTTTTTTTTCTTTCAACTAATTGTTATATTATTAAATTCTTCAATAGGAAAAAAATGGTTCTAAGATGGCATTTTTGGATGGCAACCCCCCTGAAAGACTTTGTATGCCGATAGTAGATCATATTCAGTCCTTGGGTGGGGAAGTTCATCTCAATTCACGCATCCAAAAAATTGAGCTAAATGACGATGGAACAGTGAAGAGCTTCATACTAAATAATGGGAAGGTGATCGAAGGGGATGCTTATGTGTTTGCAACTCCGGGTATTTTATTTTTTTTTCTTATTTTTTCCCATTTTATTAATTAATTATTTTTCTGGCATTCTTAATCTCCATTCCGTAATTTTTTTTTTGAGGATTTCTTTTGCTTGAAAACAGTGGATATTCTGAAGCTTCTTCTACCTGACAACTGGAAAGGGATTCCGTATTTTCAGAGATTGGATAAATTAGTTGGAGTCCCGGTCATAAATGTTCACATATGGTAAGTAATGGCTTTTGATGTTGAAAACTTTGCCCATGCATATCTTTAATTTAAATTAAATTATTACAGTTGTCATTATTGCATTTGCTGTCTAAATATAAAAACTCAAATATTTACTGAAAAGATTTGAATAGAAATCTATGTGATTGTTCTTAAAATTGTATCAATGACAATTGGCAATTTATAATTAAATAACTAATATCATTCTTCCAATTGAATGGTTGTAATAGTTTTGGTAAATGGAACCTTTAAATATAGAGTTGTGGTAAAATAATGTCATTATCACTAATTGATACTGGAATATACCTTTTTTATGTATTTTTATATATTTTCTTCACTTCATTGATTTTTTTTTCAAAATTATGGATAACAATGACAATTATTTTATAATATTTGGGTGTGATGATTATATTGTTAGCTCTACTGTTGGTGACATACTACATATGCATCCTGTTTGCAGGTTTGACAGAAAACTGAAGAATACATATGATCATCTTCTCTTTAGCAGGTCTCCCTCACGCTTTGAAACACTTTTAATGTCTGCAAATGCTGTTCATTTAATGTATCTTTCGGTTTTCTGGTACATAGATGCATATTATGAGCCAACTTCTGTGCTTAATAAATTGGGAAATTAGGCAAGTATAACATCAGAAGCCAAACTGAATATTGTAACATGGAAATAGTGTAAAAGATATTGTCTCCCTAAATGTTGACACTCTTATAATGTGTCGTTTAGTAAAATTACAAATTTTGGCCAAGAAGATCCTTTCTACTTCATTCTTTGCTTAACTTAGTTGAAGGTTTCTCTAAGAATTTATTAACAGTGTTGATGTTGTCTAGCATGATGTGGTTTATTGTGATTCTGTGTATATGGTAGTATTTGATCTTCAATTTCTAATTACAAATGATTACATATTGCTTGTTGATTGATTTAAGATAAAAGGAATTTTTGTTGTGATTGCATTCGATAATATTGTTTATGTTCTCAGTATCTGAGGATTTAAAATTACTTTATTTTTGCTGTGTGAAATGAAATTTTTTTCTTCTGTGCTTTCTTGATGGTTTGTGGATTGTAAATAAAGCATTTTCATCATCTCACAACTCGTATATTTTATATTTTTCTTCGCGCAGAAGTCCCCTTCTGAGTGTGTATGCTGACATGTCAGTAACGTGCAAGGTAAAACTCCATACTTCCATGTCATTGATTTGCACTGATTTATTTCCTCTAACCCATGCAAAAATGTTCAGTTTTTAGATATTTATGTAATCATATTTTGTTGTTTGAGACTGAATTTCTTCTGCATATGTTTGTTTGGGTATCATTAATGTTGGAATGTTGTTTGGGTGACTCTGTTTCACGATCTAATGCAGGAATATTATGACCCAAACCAGTCTATGTTAGAGTTGGTTTTTGCACCGGCCGAAGAATGGATTTCACGTAGTGATGAAGATATCATTGAAGCCACAATGTCCGAGCTTGCCAAACTCTTTCCTGATGAAATTTCTGCAGACCAAAGCAAAGCAAAGATTGTCAAGTACCATGTTGTTAAAACACCAAGGTTTGATTGAATATCCACTGAGGTGGATTATTCTTCTTTTGTAAACATGGATTGGGAATGTTTTGTTGTTACTGAACTAACAGTGACAGTTATAGACATCACATTCAGTGTATTCTGAATCCTATTGGAACTGGCTACATTGTTTCAGGTCGGTTTACAAAACTGTTCCAAATTGTGAACCTTGCCGTCCGTTACAAAGATCTCCGATTGAAGGTTTCTACTTAGCTGGAGATTACACAAAACAAAAATATTTAGCTTCAATGGAAGGTGCTGTTCTTTCAGGGAAGCTTTGTGCACAAGCTATTGTACAGGTAAATCTGTCACAAAAATATCTTTATAACTTACCCCAAATAATTTGCAAGAAAAGTGATCATCTATAAACATGCTATCTCAGTGATTTTGTTTGGGAGAAACATGTTCTTAATTTTAATTAATTCAGCAGTTTGAATAACTCTACATTGTCTCAGGGAAATTCTATACTACAGTTCACTGCATTTATTTGTTGGTTTTTGGAGTCCTGTCATTATTTTTTTGGTTGAAACATTTTTCTTTAGTTCCATATATCCTCCAATGCTCCCTCAGTTATGTTTTTTGAATAATGTTTTTTCTTTGATTATTATGTGTCATGTATCACATTGGTGTCATTGACTAAACAATTGTGCAGGATTGTGAGATACTTGCTGGTCGGGGCCAGAAAAGAATGGCTAAAGCGAGTGTTGTTTAACAGAAACAAGAATTGAAAATAAATTATGGTAGAAATACAGGAGCAGCATCACTTAAGTCCATAGAAAGAAACAGAGGGAATAATCTACAGGGAACAAATGACATGTGTCAATATTGTATTGGAACGAAATTTATCATTATTTTTTATTTAAACTTGTATATCAGTTTTATTTTCTTTTCTTTATGTCACATTTCTCACAACCTTTCAGTAGCAAATTATATCCAGAAGGGCATATGACTAAGTAAATTGATATAAATTATTATAATTGTTATGTAATTATGATAAAAAAGGTAATATTATCACCCACATTATGTCATAGTTTTATATTATTTTATCTATCTTAAATATAACATAAATAAATAAATAAATATAAGCTGTCTAAAAATGAGCTAAATGTTAAAAATGTAAGAATTAATCAAATTTTCATTATATTTTATTCGCACCACCTGGGGCTGTAGCTAATCTTATCTATCACATTATCTGAATGTTAAAAATATAAGAGTATTTGATTTGAACATAATTTCGTAATTTAATTATGCTGAGCAATGAGTTCAAGATTAAAACATTTTTCGTTGACCACATCAAACATAGCCTATCAGGACACAGGAAAACGCGTTGATTTAATTGAAAGAAAAACAAACTTGTTTTATTTTTAAAAAACATGTTTTGTTTTAAAAAACGTATTTTGTTTTAAAAAACGTGTTTTATTGTGTTTTTTTATTATTTTTAAAGAAGAGATATGCAATATTGAAATTTGAAACATAAAAAAGAATCTTAAATTATTGAAATTCAAAATGTACATATATGGTGTAGAAAGCGCGAGATTGTGGAGGTAACCATCAGCCTCTCCTATTTCGCTCCAATTCCTCTGCAATAGTCAATTTCTTGTGCCCTAAGCTACGGTCATCTCACGCCACACACTCCATTTCCCGTGCACTTCTCAATCTGAATTCTGAGGATGGCTGAGCATGATGGATTCAACACGCTTCAATACTTGTCGCTCCTCTCCAAAGTCTGCACCGAGTTGGAGTTCCACACCGGCTCTGCCGACAAGTTCCTCGCCGAGTTCATCATCCACTTGGCTCGTTCATCCGACAACCTTCACCAATTCAACGCCAAACTCAAGGACAACGGTGCCCATTTGCCCGATTACCTTGTCCAAACACTCTTCACCCTTGTTCACGCAGTTCTTATTCCCGATAAGATAGAGTCCAAAGACAGAGAAGATGCCAGTGGTAGTTCTTCGCGGAAACCTCTCAAGAAGATCATCTCCTTTCCGGAAAAATGGGAAGAAAACAAGTTGATTGGTTCCGGAAACTTGAGTTCTCCAGATAAAGATGAGGAGGGAGATGGATTGTTTCGCCAAGAAGAAGGAGCTGATGAGGATCTTGAGATTGAGTTGAATGATGATGCACCTGCATTCTTGCAGGGGCTCACCAAACACTCCTTGGACATGTCTCCTCCTAAGATTTTCAAAAATCCAGAAGGTTCTCTGCTTCGCTGTGCTGCACTTCAGTCTGCACTTGCTAAGGAACGAAAGGAACTGAGAGAACAACAGCATAGTTCAATGTTTGATTCGATTCCAAAGGACCTCAATCGCCCTTGGGAAGACCCTATGCCGGAGAAAGGTGAAAGACACCTTGCTCACGAGCTTAAGGGTGTTGGTTTATCTGCGTTTGACGTGCCCGAGTGGAAGAAAGAGAACTTCGGAAAAACAATTTCCTTTGGGCCGAAATCAAAGCTTTCCATTCTGGAGCAGAGGCAGAGTTTGCCAATTTATAAATTGAAAAATGAATTGATTCAGGCTGTTCATGATAATCAGGTGTTGGTGGTTGTTGGAGAAACCGGTTCTGGGAAGACAACTCAGATTACACAGTATCTTGCTGAAGCGGGGTACACGACAGAGGGGAAAATTGGATGTACTCAACCACGGAGGGTGGCTGCAGTGTCTGTTGCAAAGAGGGTAGCAGAAGAGTTCGGTTGTCGATTGGGGGAGGAAGTTGGTTATGCCATTCGGTTTGAGGATTGCACTGGATCAGATACTGTCATCAAGTACATGACAGATGGTACGCTTCTTAAGGAAGTGCTGATGGATCAGAATCTCTCACGGTATTCTGTTATAATGCTTGATGAAGCCCATGAAAGAACTGTTAATACTGATGTTCTTTTTGGACTGCTGAAGCTGCTACTGAAGCGTAGGCCTGAATTGAGATTGATTGTCACGTCTGCTACTCTTGATGCTGAGAAGTTTTCAGGATATTTCTTTGACTGTAACATCTTTACAATCCCTGGTAGAACTTTTCATGTGGAGATACTTTATGCTAAACAGCCTGAGAGTGATTACTTGGATGCAGCTTTAATCACTGTTCTGCAAATCCACTTGACAGAACCTGAAGGAGACATTCTTCTCTTCTTGACTGGTCAAGAAGAGATTGATTTTGCTTGTCAATCTCTTTATGAGAAAATGAAGGGTTTAGGTAAGAATGTTCCAGAGCTCATCATTTTACCTGTGTATAGTGCTCTTCCTAGTGAAATGCAGTCCAGGATATTTGAACCTGCTCCACCTGGGAAAAGGAAAGTGGTTGTGGCTACTAACATTGCTGAGGCTTCTTTGACCATTGATGGAATATTGTATGTAGTTGATCCTGGATTTGCTAAGCAGAATGTTTATAACCCAAGGCAAGGTCTTGACTCTTTGGTGATAACTCCAATTTCACAAGCATCAGCCAAACAAAGAGCAGGACGTGCAGGGCGTACCGGACCTGGTAAGTGTTTTCGTCTCTATACTGAGAGTGCATATAGGAATGAGATGTGTCCCACTACAATTCCGGAGATTCAAAGGATAAATCTAGGAACAATTACTCTTAATATGAAAGCTATGGGGATAAACGATCTATTGTCCTTTGATTTTATGGATTCACCTTCACCCCAGGCACTTGTTTCTGCTATGGCGCAGCTTTACAGTCTTGGAGCATTGGATAAAGAGGGCATGTTAACCAAATTGGGTAGGAAAATGGCAGAATTTCCTTTGGATCCACCATTGTCCAAGATGCTTCTTGCTAGTGTGGATCTTGGATGCAGTGATGAGATTTTGACGATAATTGCCATGATCCAAACCGGCAATATTTTTTACAGGCCAAGGGAAAAGCAAGGCCAAGCAGATCAGAAGAGGGCAAAGTTTTTCCAGCCGGAGGGTGACCATCTTACGCTACTTGCTGTCTATGACGCTTGGAAATCTAAAAATTTTTCAGGGCCGTGGTGTTCTGAGAACTTTCTCCAATCCCGATCGTTGAGAAGAGTCCAGGATGTCCGGAAACAGCTTCTCACCATCATGGATAGGTATCATTTCTAGATTTTCTTCTAAATACTTTTTATTTGCTTTGGTTTCAGTATGTATTTATTTTTGCTGCGTATTCTATGATTGTGTTTTTCGGTTTTAGTTATTATGTTAACCATAGTCTCTTGCATATTCATTTAATTATATGAATTTGTATTCTAAATCAGCTGTATGAATATTTTATAATCCAGGTACAAATTGGATGTTGCAAGTGCTGGAAATAACTTCACCAAAGTCATGAAGGCTACCACTGCAGGATTCTTTTTCCATGCTGCTAGAAAGGACCCTCGGGAAGGTTACAGAACCCTGTTTGAGAACCAGTCTGTATATATCCATCCAAGTTCAGCTTTGTTCCAGAGACAGCCAGACTGGGTCATCTACCACGAGCTTGTGATGACAACGAAGGAATATATGCGCGAGGTCACAGCCATAGACCCTAAGTGGCTAGTTGAATTGGCTCCAAGATTATTCAAAGCTGCAGATCCTACAAAGATGAGCAAGCGAAAGTCTCAAGAACGTATAGAACCACTTTATGATAGATACAACGAGCCAAATTCCTGGCGTTTGAGTAACCGCCGTGCATGAGAAGTAATTTATCTACTCCTCTTGATGCAATCTATTATTGCATTTAGTTTTACACATAACTTAGAATTCTCATGTTAAAATTATTGAATACCCACCGAGGTGGATAATTTCTTTCGGCTTCCTATAAACATGGATTGTATAATGTTTTTATAGTTACTGAACTAATGACATTTATAGCCATTACACTCAGTTGTGTTCTGAATCCTAATGGAACAGACTGTGTCGTTGCATATGGTTTACAAAACTGTTCCTGTTGTGAACCTTGTCTTCCCTTACAAACATCTACTTGTACAAGGTTTCTTATTACCTGGAGATCCCACAAAACAAAAATATTGAGCTTCAATGTTTTGAAAAAAATAATAATGTTTTATGTATCTACTTCTGATCAGCTAGGCCATTTTTTTTTTAATGTTTTTAATTTAATAAATAGGATGAATTTTTTGGTATTATCAATAAATGAATTAATAAGACGTAAGACCATATAAAATAATTGAAACAAATTACTAGATATAGATTTTTAACACTTTTTCACTCTTATAGTTTTATAAAATATTATAATCTTTTTATAAATTTTAGTTGATAAAAAACATGTTTAAAGAATACAGCAGATTTGGTAGTAGTATTTCCGAAGAAGAAAGAAAAAAACACTATTGTGCGTGTTTATGCCACGACCACAATTACTCCTTACTACGTAGGAGTGGAGCATAAAAGATTAGCGGTGCAAAATACGACACGTGGAACATATCCATTAGTTCCATTTCTATCTACGCCTTATCTTGTATCCATTGATCTCCAACCCAATCTACTTGGTTTGAGGTTCAGTGAGACCTGAACTTCTTGGAGTAAAGTTCAAAGAAAACAACAACAAACAATAATGCCCATTTTCTCTGCAACTGCAACGTTCGGCTCCTTCACTTCCGTCTCCTTCCTCTCTGCTTCACAATCTCAATCGCACCCTTCTCCTTTCCTCAATTTCCCCCATAAGTTTAATGTGAAGACACCTTGGCAATGGCAGCACCCTCACTATCACACTGATAAAGTAATCTATGCCTCTGGAAATACCCAAATTGACCGAAATCTTGAAAGTGGACTTCTTCAACGCCCAACTCCTCCAGACCCACAGGATGACGCTCGTCAGGCTCGGGTCTGTCTTCTCATATCATTCAAGCAATTTTCATTCTTAGTCATGTCATATAACCAATTTATTATCACATGCATATCATAGACATGAAGTACTAATCATTATATTATTCTCTGCATGTAATACTTAACACAGGATCTTCATCTTATTGTGATACCCAAAAACAATTATTTAAATGGAAATTGAACTCCAATCAGCTATTGCTGCGGCATGTTCTATTTAAATGGTTAAGTTGTGATATTAAACCCATACAATACTCTTAGTTTTGGATTAATGCTAATTTCTATCACTGTATGTTGTGTTTTTTCTGATACTTGATTTCTGCAATGAAGTAGAGGTCATCAGATTGGAAGGCTGCAAAAGCATATAAAGATAGTGGACTCCTTTATAACGGTAGGGTTGAAGGTTTTAATTCTGGAGGCCTGCGTGTACGGTTTTATTCCATTCTGGGGTTTCTCCCATTCCCAGAATTGAGTCCATTGCATACTTGTAAAGGTATCCATCTATCTATAGGTTTATCGTCAATGTTTCTCACATTAGTCCTCTTTTCCTTTTTCCTAAATCTAAAGCAGAGTTGAAGGGTTAAAAGTTGGTCATGAAAATTCTCAATTTGTTTTCCCTCTCTCTGTATGCTGAAGAGCTCCTCCCCCCTCACGCAGAAGAAACAATCTTATGGCTACTTTAAAAATCTAGCTTCAGTTTATGTAAATAAAATTGATTTCCTGTAATATCATAAAAATTTCTTGTTGAAAATTGTTTACATTTTCCTTTCAGCATCTTCGTGTTTGTCAAACACTAGTTAATGATCATATCATAGATCCATTCTCGTTCATAGCTTCCTTTTAGCATCCTTTGGTACCGATGGTACATAATAGTATATAGATAAAAGTTTGCTGGTTTCCTATGGCATTTTATATAGCATTTGGTCGTATTTACCCGTATCAAGCATGCCATTTAATAATCTGTTTGGATATATTTTAGTTGTTCTGTATTGTTAATAACATGTGTGGAGTTGAAATTGCTGATTTATTGTGACCTTGATTCTTTTGTGTAGAACCAGAGAAACCTATCCAAGAAATTGCAAAAGGCTTAATTGGTTCAATCATATCAGCAAAGGTAAATTTGATTATTTAAATAATGAATTCTAAATGTTATAGTTTTCTTTTCCGCTTATCCAGTACAATGTTTAGTCCTGAAACTGCGGCCTAAAAGAACCATTGTCCCTTGAATCTAGAAAACTGTTGTAAAGTTTTGCTGCGCAACAGTCATCTGATTTGAGCTATTTCAACTTTTCAAGCACTATCATACATGTTTTGTATATGGAAGTATATATTTAGTGCTTCCTGCATCAGTTTGATACATCAATCCTTTGCTCTACACTGGATTAGGTTATAGTAGTAATATTTTTCAACATGCTAGAAATGGTTATAGGAAGATTTGTTTGAAATTTATAATAAATTGCAGTTTCTTCCAATTTTAGGTAATTCTAGCAGATGAGGATAACAAGAAATTAATATTCTCTGAAAAGGAAGCTGTCTGGTCCAAATTTTCAAAAGATGTCAATATAGGGGACATTTTTGAAGGAAGAGTTGGTTATGTTGAGGACTATGGTGCTTTTGTTCATTTGCGCTTCCCTGACGGTAACTACTGTGCAGAGTTCATATGTCCACAATATTCTTTTTTCACTTTATCATGGGAAAAGTTACAAGTGACATCACAGAATGATGCAGGTCTTTATCGCCTTACTGGACTAATACACATCTCAGAAGTGTCATGGGATCTAGTTCAAGATGTCAGAGATATCTTAAAAGTAGGTGACCAAGTGAGGGCCAAGGTTGTCGGTATTGATTGGTGAGATTCCAATAGTTATGCTTTTAAAAGGAAAATTTTAGGCATAATAACCAATTTCGTCCCCGAAAATGTATATGATCATTAAATTAGTTTTTAAATATTAATAAAATAAAAAAATTCCTAAAAACAGTTCTCATCTTTCGCAATCATAATTTTTATATGTTGTGATTAAAATGAAATTTAATCTTTGTTATAAAGTTCAAATTGTATATTAATAGTAACAAATAAATGTATACCTAAAATCATATAACAAATAAAATTTTTATATGATGAATTTGAAAGAAAGAAGGTAGTTTGAGAATTTTGTTTGAAATCATAAGATTTAACTGTAAATCTATTTGCTTTGCTGTGAACAAACTATTTCAAAAAATTAAGCCATTGGATGAATGCACTTGTGGTTTTTGTATCTAACATGTCTCTTCATCCATTAGCATTGGGCGCTCTGGACTTGTAGCATGAAAAATGTAAAGAAACCCTGCCTTGTGTTAAAATTAACTTTTCTCTAGAAGAAAGAGCGCAACAACGATTGAACTATGGGCCACATGGTTATAGAGGCTTATCTACCGTGTCAAAAATTAACACTAAAAGAACTTGACGAGGCCACATGAATGAAGTTTAGATGAAACATTGCCATTTTCTATTTTGCTAACTGGGTTTGAAATTAATCTCCCTTGTGTATAAATCACACATAAGGTAATCTATTTATAATAGAGAGGTACAACTAAAAGAGTAACCAAAAGTAAACAGAATAAACAGAAGATATTGTTTGATATTGTGGTTAACAATATCTTAACAATATCAAACTATATCTAAACAATATCTAACACTCCCCCTCAAGCTGGAGCATACAAATCGTATGTGCCAAGTTTGTTACAAATATAATCAATTCTAAGCCTCCGTAAAGACTTAGTGAAAATATCTGCTAATTGATCACTTGAGTTAACAAACTCAGTCTTGATATCTTCAGACATAATCTTTTCTCGAATGAAATGACAGTCAATCTCAATGTGTTTGGTCCTCTCATAAAAGACAGGATTATAACTAATATGAAGAGCAGCCTGATTGTCACATACAAGTGTCATTTGAGTGACATCTCCAAATTGTAACTCTCTAAGCAATTGCTTGAGCCAAACAAGTTCACAGGCAGTTGAGGTCATAGCTCTATATTCTGCTTCTGCACTGGATCTTGCCACAACATTGTGTTTCTTACTTTTTCATGAGATCAAGTTACCACCAATGGAGACACAATATCCAGATGTAGATCTTCTATCCGAAGGAGATCCTGCCCAATCAGCATCTGAGTAGCAAACAACTCTTGTATGGTTATTAGAACCATATAACAATCCTTTTCCAGGAGATTCTTTAATATACTTCAAGATACGAATGACTGCATTCCAATGATCTTCACATGGTGAATTAAGAAATTGATTTACCACACTGACTGCAAAGGAATTTCAGGACGAGTAACTGTAAGATAATTCAATTTTTTAACCAATCTTCTATACTGCTCATGATCAGATATAGACTCCTCCTGATTTGATAGAAGTTTAGTATTGGGATCCATGGGTGTATCAATAGACTTTGAACTCATCAACCCAGTGTCCTCCAAAATATCTATGGCATACTTCCTCTGAGATATAACAATACCATCATTGGACTGTGTCACCTCAATACCCAAGAAATATCTAAATTTGTCAAGATCTTTGGTCTGAAAATAGTGATAGAGATGTTGTTTCAATTGAGAGATGCCATGGTTGTCACTACCTGTAAGAACGATGTCATCAACATATACTATCAAGTAAACACATCTAGCACTCGAGTGTTGATAAAAGACAGAATGATCTGCTTCATACCGAGTCATACCAAATTGTTGAACAACCTTGCTAAACTTTCCAAACCAAGTCTTAGGAGACTGTTTTAGGCCATATAGGGATTTACGAAGACGACAACCATCCCAAAAGATTCCTCCTGAGCAACAAATCCAGGAGGTTGCTCCATATATATATTTCTTCTTGCAAATCACCATTGAGGAAAACATTTTTAACATCCAGTTGATAAAGAAGTCATTGTTGAAGAGCGGTCATGACGATAAATAAATAAACAGAAACCATCTTTGCCACAGGGGAAAATGTATCTCCATAATCCAACTCAAAAATTTGAGTATAACCTTTGGCCACAAGACGAGCTTTGAGGCGATCAATAGTACCATCAGGTCCAACTTTGATAGCAAACACCCACCTGCAACCAACAACAAATTTCCCAGACAGTAACGGGACAAATTCTCAAGTTCCACTATTATGAAGAACACTTAGTTCATTTAACATGGTCTGACGCCAACCAGAATGAGCTAAAGCTTCACAGACAGTTTTTGGAATGGTCACAGAAGAAATAGAGGAAAAACATGTATAAAAAGATAATGACAGTCGATGATAACTCAAAGCAATATAATGGGGAGAGGGATTACGTGTAGAACGAATACCTTTTCGGAGGACAATGGGAAGGTCAGACTCATGTGTCAGATCCAGAGGAGACAGAGTAGTTGGCACTTGAGTGGAGTCACATGGTGGTGGTTGTGATTGATTTCGACAACTATAAATCTGAAAAGGTAGTGGAGAATAAGCTGACTACGAAGCACGAACTAATGGTGAAGAAGACACAGAGAGTTACAAACAACAGGAATATTAAATGTACTAGGAGTGTTGATAAGATTGGATTGAGGCAAATGTGAAGATTGACTTTTAAAATAAAGAGACAACTCATCAAAGGTGACATTTGTGGACACAAAATAACGGTTAAGAGAAGGAGAAAAACATTTGTATCCTTTTTGTGATCTTATAAATCCTAAGAAAACACATTTATGTGATCTAGGAGAAAGTTTATCAAGACCAAAACTGAAATTATAAACAAAACATGTAGACCCGAAAACTTTTATAGGTAAATGATGAAGTGGTTCATGAGGGAATAAAATGGAATGAGGTATTTTATTATCTAAAACCGAAGAAGGCATGCGATTAATAAGATAACATGCAATAAGAAGAGCATCACCCCAAAAATGTGGAGGAACCTCTCCATGAATTAAAAGTGTGCGAGTTGTTTCAATAAGATGTCTATTTTTACGTTTAACTATACCATTTTGTTGAGGTGTATAAGCACAAGAAGTTTGATGCAAAATACCGTGAGAAACCATGAATTGTTTAAAAGAATGAGAAAGATATTTGCGACCATTATCACTACGCAAAACTCTAATAGAAACACCAAACTGAGTTTGAATTTCATTAAAAAAAGTTTGAAAGATATGAAATAATTCAGAATGATTTTTCATAAAAAATAATCAAGTATATCTGGAATAATCATCAATGATAGTAACAAATTATTGAAAACCTAAAGTAGACTTAACGTGGCTAGGTCCCCAAATGTCAGAATGAACCACGACAAAAGGGGACGAAGCACCACGTGTGAAACTACGAGAAAAGAAAGTACGACTATGTTTACCTAAATGACATGACTCACACGCCAAACTAGATAAGTTGGACAAGGCAGGGACAAACTTCTGTAACTTGGCAAGACTTGGATGATCTAACTGAGCATGAAGAAGAGAGGGAGACTTCATAACTGTACTAACATGTGTAGAGGGACGGGGATAATAAAGACAATGAGACTCACATCCTGTGCCAATCACCTGTTTCGAACTCCGGTCCTGTAAACACACAGAATTGTTGGTAAAAGTAACAACATAATCAAGAGAATGAGTTAGACGACTGATGGACAATATGTTAAAAGGAGACCCAGGGACATAAAGAACATTATCAATGGTTAAAGAAGAAAAAAGTTTAACCGTTCCAACACCATGAGATGATACTCTAGAGCCATCAGCCAGTGTAATAGAAGGTAAATGATTAGGAGAGGATAAAGAGGAGAACAAATATTTGTTACCAGTAATATGATCAGTGACTCCTGAATCAAAAACCCAAGGACCAGGAGAAAAAGATTGGGTCAGACCTGCAAAATATGTATTTGTATGTGTGACAGATATAGTGGAACTAGAAGAATGTTGATCTTTATACCATTTGAGAAATTTGTTGAACATAGCAGGCATGTCGGATGCAACAGAAGAAGGAGGATCCCCAGCAGATAAAGGTGGGGAAAGATTGGTCTGAACAACTGCAGCAGATCAAGGAGGATGACCATGTAATATATAACACTTGTTAATCTTGTGACCTAGCTTGCCACAATGTTCACACTTAGGACACCATTTTCTCTATTTGTGAGGGCGAGTCCGGTCATCATGATGGGATGTCAACACAAAAGAATTATTAACAAAATTGGAAATAATAGAAGAAGTGGAAGAAGTCATGAAGAGCGGGAGAACAAACCTTAAAACAATCCAAAGTAATCCAATTAACCCATGAAGCACAAATCCAAAATGAGAATACAAAAAATAAGTTCGCCAAGCAGGAGACAACAGGACGACCAACTCCGATAGTGGTGATCTCAACGGCACGGTGGTCACGTGACCGAGACAAGCAAAATCATATATCATCGGTTAAAAAATGAAACTCCGGCGAATTCTCCGGCAGTGGCAGATCCGGTGACTGCTCCAGCGGTAGCGGTGACAGCAACGTGAACCAGTACACCAGGTAAGTTCCCAGGAAAGAGAGGTGAGTCACTAATGAACACACTTAAATACCAAGTTTTTCCTTGCCAGAACTTTTCTAGACATGCACTTTCACACTACCAAATAAAATTCAGTAACAAAGATAATTCTTTTCTGATGTGGAGGATCAGTTTACCAGCAACGCTGGAGCGGCTCTAGCAGCAATGGGACGGCTCCAGCAGTGGACAAAAGGCAAAAAAAATTTCAAGATTTGAAATTAATCTCCCTTGTGTATAAATAACACATAGGATAATATATTTATAATAGAGAGGTACAACTAAAAGAGTAACAGAAAGTAAACAGAATAAACAGAAGATATTATTTGATATTATAGTTAACAATATCAAACTATATCTAAACAATATCTAACACTATCTTTTTGTCTTTTGTTCATGTAAAGCATTTTTTTACTTATCTTAAGTTCTTACAGGGTAAAATCAAGGATTACCCTATCAATTAAACAGCTAGAAGAAGATCCACTTCTAGAAACCCTGGACAAAGTAATACCTCAGGTTTGTATTGTTGGAAAGTCTCACGTAGCTCTCCTCAATTCTTATAGTGCAACTTGTATTTATGTTCAGTAATTTCACTTGAAGAGAATTAATTTTAAGATGAAATTTGATATGATATCAGAACCTATAGTTCATCTTAATAATTGTCTATGGTGGTAGGCTTGTCCAATCTAGGAGACATGCAAAGGAGTATTGGAAAGGAGTCATTCTAACATGCATACTCACAATTCTAATATGCACACTCATCTTAATACGTCGTATTTGCACAATTGAACTATTCATTGTATTTTACTTAATATTTTCTTTTTCTTTTTCTATCTCTCCTCATACGTTCTTACAGTTTTCTCTTATGGGCACTTTTTTTTCAGTTTTCTCTCTAAATATTTCCTCACAAAGTTATCAAAATAAAAAATATTTAATTTTTGAAAAAAATTATACTTCAAAATAATTTAAAATATATTTAAAGATTTATTTTGAATAATAATATAATTTAATCTATATCTAAATAATATACGTATTTTATATTTAAATTAAGATAGATATATCCAATAATTTATTGATTGATACAAAAAAAATAATCGATGATGTGAATGTTGACTCAGTAATTTATTAAATATAAAAAAATAATTTAAATTTCAAAGTTAATTATTTATTAAAAATATTTAACTCTACAAAATTTATCATAAAAAATTATATAATTAACTAAACAAATTATTTATAATTTTTAAACTATTTAACTTAGTTTAAAACATTTTAAAATATATTAAAGAGTTTATTTTATTTTAAATGTATTTATTTAGATATAAAACAAATTATATTATTATTCAAAATAAACTCATGAATATATTTTAAATTATTTTGAAGTATGATTTAAAGAAAAAAAAATTATTTTTGAGTAATTTATGAGTAATTAATTATAGAGAGAGAAAATTGAAACAAAAAGAATAAATTTAGGTGAAGAGAAAATTTAATGAATTATATATGAGGATGTTGTAAATATGCCGTATTTGTGGTGTCTGCATTCAAGAATCACTCGTTGAGAAGTCCCATATATTGAAGTGTATATATATATATATATGTATTGGAAAATTTTGCTTAAAATTACTTGGTTTTAAGATGCAATATGACATGTGTGGACATAAAATATATATACATATGCAGGACGTAGACATGGTTATATAAACGTGCGTGCTTGAGGAAATATTATGATCAATAATTTCTCTCTGTCAGGATGGTTTAGCTGCTCTTGATTCTATGAGCGGGAGCGGTGGTGACAGTGATAGTATTGAACCTCTCCCGGGGCTTGAAACAATACTTGAAGAGCTACTACAGGAAGATGGGTATGTTTCCAGATTATTTGAAAATTTAACTATTTGTAATAAGTTAGAATCTCAGTAATTGAAATTCAACTAGAAACAATCATGAGCATATAGCACGAAAAGGGGACCAATCTTGTCCCGCAAAAAGAAACGCTCTTGAAAATACAGACAACCTGTGAAGCACAACTTTGGCTTGAAAAATTTTGGAGGGGCGAAAGAGAGTACATATGGTTATTGCTAGTCTTCAATGTAGGGGAATGAAATTTTGAGAGTGCAAACATTTAAAAACAACATAGTAAATGATTGACTCTTTGATTTTTGCGTAGAAGAAGGAAACTGACTCTTTCTTATTCTATTGCGAGTTTTAAGTAATGATATTCCCGCTTGAAGGTTTGTGCATAAAATTACTGCAATAATTTATTACATGAAAAGTAAACATTTGCAACATGCCATTTGTTATTTTGTTCAGAAATGCTTACTATCACGTGTTTTCCGTCAAAACTGCATTTTATATTTTTATTTTAAAGTTGATATCCATTTATGTATTCAAATCCTGGCTTTCTTGCCCTTGTTAATGGTTTTAGTTAAATGACAGCACCAATTAGATGACTTTTGGAAAAACGAGTTAGAGTGAATGCATTTTGACTTTTCTGTGGTATGACGACATTCTGTCACAGTATAAATGATGTAAGAATCAGCCGTCAAGGGTTTGAAAAACGAGTGGTCTCGCAAGACTTACAACTTTGGCTTTCTAATGTGAGTTTTCACTCAGACTTCTTACTTGAATAATGGAAGATGCTATTCATTTGTTTAATTTGGTCGTAATTTTGATTTTTCCTTTTTCTGAATCTTAGGCACCTCCCACGAACCAAAAATTTACTCTCCTTGCTCGTGCTGGAAGACAGGTGATTTTCCTTTAATTAATGCATATCACGTTCAATATCAACTGCCACCTCTTATTTAAACTAAAATAACATTGAAGGAATGTGCAGCATAAATTTTGCAAGATGCTTAATACTATGGACTTGTTACATATTTGCTGCATGAGTGGACATGATTTTATGTTTTAGTTTAATAAGTAAATAAATTCATAATGGTATATATTCTTACTTGAAAAGTAAGTTGGTTAGTTATTTGAGGAGTAAATTTGTGAGTTATGGATAATTATATCTCTTAAGTATGTTTTTTTTCTTTCAATCATTATAAATATAAATATTATTGATCAATAAATATCAAATTCTTTGCTTTTAGTTCAAAATATTCCAACATATTTTGTTCCTCCTTATTCCCAATTTTTTTTTTCTGCCATAATTCCAACAATTTGTATCTAGTCCTCTTCTTACGGGACCTGTAAAATGGAAATCGAAAAAAAGTTTTTCCCAAAATATTCTTCTTGTTTTTTATTGGGAAACTACTACTTTGGATAGTGAAATTGGAGTTTACCTGGATTTATTCTATTTTTGAAAAGTTGTAGAAGAGGAGTATGAAATATTTCTACTATAGTATATTCTGCCATGACCCAAATCAAAAGTCATAAGTCATAAGATATAAGATATAAAAATAAGGATGGCCAAAACAAATTCATGTCTTTTTTTTGTGTTTCTCATGTCATCTTTACAAGAATTATGATTTTCAAATTATCAAAATACATTTGAGGTTATCTAAAGTAAGAATATACTAGACATGAAAGGATACGAAACATACTGGTTTCAAATTATCACACGAGATTTGAGGTTATCTAAATGAACAATATACTAGAGATAAAAGGATAGGAAACATACGGGTTTCAAATTATCAAAAGAGATTTAAGGCTACCTAAACGAAGAACATACTACAGATGAAAAAGGATGCGAAATTTGACTAGATGCATGTTCTATAAGAAAATTTGTCAAAGAAATTTTGGATAAAAGCAGCAAGTATAGCTGTTTTTCTTCAAAATAGACTTTTGATATAGGCATTGATGATTCAAACACGATTTGAGGTCTGAGGTCTGGTATGGTTATAAACCATCGTTGAAATTTCTTAAAATATTTGGTAGTTCGTTCTTTATTCATGTTGCATATAGCAAGCAGGATAAGTTGGACAAAGAACATCACCAATAATTTTTATAGGCTATATAGTGCAGTCAACAAAACTTATAAAGTCTTCCAGCAACAATCTGAAAAAAAAAAAAATAATAATAATAATTGTTAGAAGGGCTGTTCACTTAGTGAAAGATGAAGAACGGAACTGGGATGATCCAAAGAAGATAGATCAAACTTTTAAAGATCTGTACCAAAATTTTCCTCTATCAAGTTCAGAAGAAGAAAGTTGGCTGAATTAGTTAGTTGATGATGTCTTAGAGATATTAGATTGCTCTCTGATGTCTATGACAAATATAATACTGTTGTATGTGAGACTACAAACTATGAAGCAGAAAAAACTTGAATTTAGGTTACTGCAAAAAGGAGGAGCTCATAATACTAAAGAGAAACCAAATTTGGAATGTTGTAGAAAGACCACAACATTGAAAGTCTTTCGAATCAAATGCGTATATAAAACTTAAGTTTAGTGCTGATTGTTCTATTAATAGTTAGACTTGTAGTGAAGGGTCTGAGTAGTTAATTGCTCTATTGTAGTGAAGGGTATGGTGTGGATTACTCATACATTTGCCACCATCATGTTGTTGCTTGTTGTATCTGCTCAAAAGAATTGTAAAGTATATCAACTTGACGTCAAATCAACATTTTTAAATGGTTTCTTAGACGAAAATGTTTAGCAACTCCAAAGTGTTGTAAAGAAAGAAGAAGAGAGGTGCTTTATGGGCTTGGTTATAACACAATTTATGAACGAGTTGATGTTATTATCATCTTAATATACGGGAATGATCTTCTTGTAAAGGGAAAAGAATTTCAGATCAGGGAATGTTACCCGAAGTATATATCTCGTTGGATAAAGCTTTTATGGGACTTTCACAAAGCGAACTACTATCGGTAGTATATGCCTTCCCTGGGAAATGCTGTAGAACATCCTGATCTCAAAGGAGAGCCTTACTTTTTCTGTGCTGATTCTATATGCGAAGAAGGGGTGGAGAGATATTTAAGAAAGAGATGATGATGGCATTTTGAGATGATTGATCTCGATTTAATGACCTTCTTTCTTGAACTTGAAATGGAAACTAAACAAGCATAATATGAAGACCAATTAATTAAAAGGAAAAACTTGTAAAGAAGATGGGACAGAGAAAATAGACCAGACATGTTTGATGTATCTTATCATTAAACGACCAGACATCCTAAATATTGTCTTGATATAATATTTTGTGTCAGTTTATGAAGTATTTTGTCTTGAATGCAATTTTTGACCTTTAAGTACAAGAACTTTTAGTACAAGAAGATTAAATATTTTAACTTGGCTTTGTTATTTTATTTTTCTGCTATAATACCTAAATTTATAATATATTCAAATATCCCATATGCTGTCTCCTGTGATGCAGGTGCAGGAGATACATTTGACTACATCTCTTGATCAGGAAGGTATCAAGAAGGCATTACAACGAGTGTTGGAGCGTGTCCCCTAAATTTGATCGACTGAGAGCTCTTTCTTCACATAATCAGTGATTTTGTACAGTTACATCTCACAAATTTCAGACACGCCATTATGGTTTTTATTAAATCCGATATACATCCTCATTCCTCAACGTATTCGAAAAATGTTCAAGAATTAACAAGTAAATAGTCCTTGTACAAACACTCCACTCGATGACAATTTGCTTGAGTTCATTCGTTCATAATAGACAACAGATTTGTGCTATACACCAGATGTTATAATACATCCGGATTCTTTCATTATAGCAAACACCCGAACAGTATAATATTTGCATAGACGATCGAGAATCAGTCACAGGAAACATATAGATAGTACATATTTATAATAGTATGACATTAAACCATATTACATTATGTTTATAATAAAGTTCTGTAGAGGGAGCCCCTGTATATGCAAGCATAACATGATTAGACAACTGAGACCCTGGTGCCAGATGGAGGAGTGGGATCGTCTTTCAGGTTGACCTCCCTGAGGCGAGTCTCAAGACCCTTACCCCCTCCATTCGCCAATGGATGAATTCCATGATCTGGCCCTGTCATATATTCCCTACCTTTTCTTTCTTCCTCAAAGTCTATCCCCATACGCTCTGCACAACCTGCAAGTGTACCAAAAACAAACTCATCCAAAAATTAAACTTGTCATTCTCCAATAGTAGTTTAACTATGCATGAAATAGAAGCCTTCAGAACAAGAATGAAGGCCGACACTATGAATTACAAAGTAAATATATGCATATTAAAGGTGAAGCAAATGGATAGCAAGTGGAAAAATAGGTATGTATATGTATATACTTTTGACGAGGTGATCATAGATTTGGCCATCTCTAGTGACAGACATCATGAGCTGAGGTATCCCAAACGGGAGGGAGTGACCCTTGTCGATTTGCCAGAAATGGAAGACTTTGCCATAAGTCTTGCATACTGTCTCCATGTCTAGGCGCTGAATAGCAGCAGGAACCTTGGGCATGATGAGGAGGCCACTCTTGACCTCGTACAAGTGAGAATGCCAGAGGCGTTTCTCCTCGTCAGGCAGTGTTAAGTACAGGTTTTCGGAGATGATGTACTCAAGCCCTATAAGCCTAGCCTTCTTGTCGGGGCTGTCGTAGATCAGACACTGCCTCATCTCCTCGTTCTTGTGCGCACAATAGTGGTGTGCCTCCAGTTGCCGGGTCATGTCATGAGAATAAAAGTGAAACCTGCATAACATAACATAACATACTTCGTTTCTTCAGTTGTTGTTTCCACTGTCAACTTTTGGTTAAATATTGAAATATTTTGCTGATATATGACTAAAAATGTAACTGAAGAAAAGAAAATGTTATTTAGTTGATATGCTCACGCGCAAAGATGTTGGTGAATTTTGTTGATGGGATCGAAGTTTTGGATAACAGATGTAGCAGTGTCACGGAGGTAGGTGCCTGTTTGAGTTGGCTCACCACCTAGAACTTGTGGGTGGGTCGACATTTTTGGGTTGAAAAATATCAATTTGGTTGGATTGGATGTGTTTGATTTTTGAGAAAGTTATCGTTATACAGATAGATGGATGATGAGTGTGAGTTTTGAAGAAAGGACGGAATGAAGTGATCGCAATAGCAGTTTTGACAACATTGGATGCATGCAGCTTCACGCGTGGTTCACAAACTTCACGTGGCAGCCTTCACAAACTTGGTGCCAACATACGTGGCTCTTCAATACTATACTCTTCATATACTGTACTACGTTTCATGTTTGACTTAAAAAAAAAAAATCTAAGGTGCTTTGCCACTAGATAAGGCGAGATATCTTTTTATCCTTAATTAAATTATATTCTATGTAGTTTTTGTCTTTATATTTCTTGAAACGAAAACAAGTTGGTTTGGTTTTCTTTATTGACTTATTAAAAAATATAAAATCAATAAATTTAATATATATTAATCCATTTGGTCCAAATTGGTTTGATCCAATATTTGGACCAAGTCAATAGTTAACCTAAGTTGATATTAATTACCACAGAGCCTTGAAAAAAGAAAAGTATCCACAAAAGGTATATTGATGTGATGCTTATGGATCTACGTTTCATGAGTCACCCATGAGAGTTTGATTGCAAGGTGACTTAACCACCATTCAATCTATTTTTATTTTGTTTGCAATCACTAAAATATTACTTTCATTTCTTCTCACCAAAGTGAGTCTTGGAAGACCAAGAAAGCCAATGAGAAAAGGTAAAGAGAGTATAAAACTACACCGAATAATAAATAAAAAAGTGAGCAGTCAAAAGAAAAAAGACAATGGAAAGAAAGTGTACGGAAAAAGAATGAAAAATACAAAAAAGAAAAGAAAAGTGAGTGAAGTTGAAAATACAAGAGAGTTTGAGAATGTTTTGATAACGGAAGAGAAACTTATATGTTTTATTTCATTTAAAAATTATATTTTCTTTTTCCTCTGATATGATGTTTCTCCTTGACAGGATTTTAAATATGTCTTTAATAAAATTGAACATTAAAGTTACACACCAATTGTTTTATGGGATTACACTTACAAGGAAAATAAAACGTACTTTATAAAATAACTTTGATTAGAAAGACTTCTCCTTTCCATGAACATTTTTATAGGTGAAAGAAGTAAGATAATATTATTATTTTTAATACCAATAACTTATTCTTTAATAAAATAGTGTTAAGAATTAAAATATGAATATAAATTATATGAAATAAAAATAAAAAAATTAAGTAATTTATAAATAAAAAAATTATAACATAATATTTTAGATTATAAATTAGTTGAAAATAATATTATATTCTTTTATATAATTATTCTATTTGAGAATAATTTAATCTTTAAAAATATCAATTATAAAAAAAATATAATAATAATATTTTTCATTTTCTAATACTATATTTAATTTCTTGAAACTATCAAAAAATAATTGTAATTTTTTATCTAAAAAAATATAGGATTCGTAAGAACTTTTTTTAAAAGAAAATAGAATTATTATGTAAAAAAAAAAATTGTACATGGTTCAACCTTATAAGTCAAAATTCAAAGCTAAGAGTGTATGACTCGTTTTTGCTTTTGATCATGTTACATTAAATACGAAGCTGCTATGAACATTATTACTTTTTTTACATTTAATTTTAAAATATATATTTTTCTTGTTGTTATTTTATCTTTAATTTTTAATTTAGGATAATACCAGTTATTATTATTAATATTATTTTAGTTGTATCCTTATAAAAAATAAAATAAAAATATTAAAAACTTACTAAATACACGTAATATAGTTAAATATGAAAAGTAATTGATTTTCAATAATATATCATAAATTTATTTATTCATGCGAACTAACTCATTAAATGAGAAGAAAATTCCAATCAAGTAAGCATGGTCAGTGTTAGATGAATCTTCTTTAATAAGAGAATTTTTTTTCCCAAGAGAGTTTCATCTTCTGATGAAAGTTTGGAACAGAGATTCATGTTAAAATAACGAAGGTGTCATATTTTCTTATTATACTTCCACGGAAACACACTCATAAAGAATAAATATTAGATTAAGTAATTACTAAATTTCTTTCCAATAAATCGCACACGAAAACATTTTGTACGAGAAACAAGAACAAGTTTTGTCATGTTTTTTGGTGTTTCTGTGTTTGATTTTGGTTTCCTTTTCCGTCATTCACTGCTTGATGTTGTCCTTGTTCAAAGGAAAATCATAAAACCATTATTTTTATTGTCATTAAAATATAATTTTGATTTCTCCTGTCTTAAAATAAAGATATTTTATTATTTTAAAATTATTAATTTTAGTAAAGTGCTGAATTTTGTTTAATAAAAAACGTATCAATCTAAGGATCAAACTAATAAATATTTATGTCAAATAAAATCATCTACATCATTGAAAAAAAGTTACATATAATAAAAACAACTATTTAGTAGGCATTGCTCCTTAATATATTGAAAAAAATGATCCTAAATAATATAAAATATATTTAATAAAATACATATTATGAAGATGATAAAGAAAATATGATTTAAGAAGAAAATGTAAATGACATGTGATAGTGTTTGAAAGTGTTGTAAATTGTTGAAGATGATGTAATGACGGCACGCAGAGTGGTTGGAAGAGAAGAAGAGAAGACTCATCTCAAACCTTTTATCATTCATTTTTTGCTTTTACTCAGTCAACGCGTTTAATAAAATTCCCATTTTTTAATTGCACAATTTATAATTTTAAAAACTATATATTAATAAAACTAATATTCATTCTAATGAAAGTAGTACTTCTTCTTTATTCTGTAATTGTGAATAATTAAGTAAATTCTTTCAAAAAGTTCTCATATCTTCAATATTATAATTAAATTAATATGGCCTTTAATTTACATGGAAGATTATTAATTATATCATAACTATTTCAAAATTACAATTGATTAATATTAATAAATACATAGTAAATGATATCCAGTACCTCGAGTCATTATTAAAAAAAAAATTAACAGTTTTTTTTTTCAAAAATCTAATAATACATTATCATATTCTGTAAATAGAAACTTTTCTAGTGAGACTTGAGAAGAGAATGAATCTTTGACCAAATATTTAAAGGATAAACTATTTATTATTTATAACGTAATTCAAATTATCTTTAATAAAAAAAGGTGTATTTATTAATTATTTGATGAGCATGACGCAAAATAGGAGTGTTTTTTTTTTTTCGTTTTTCTGGTAGCGGTTGTGGCGAGTACTACTCCACTTCTATCAAGTTCAAACCTAACTCTTCTCCTTCCTTGACCCTTCTTCCATCCAAATTGCTTTTGCATACCAACATAAACTTTTTCATTTTTTTATTCTTCTTACATTTATGTTATAATGAATCAATGTTATAAGATTGAATTATAAGATGAAATAAAAGTCAACTTTAATAAACTTATTTATCTTTTATGCGAAGAAGTGTCATACAAAATATACAAATAAATATAATTATTGAGTGAGTTTCTCACCATT